TCATCCTGGAGAGAATAATGGATGCGCTGGATTCAAAATTACGACTGGAACATACTGGCCGGCTTCAGGAAGAACAAATCTTGTGTGGATCAAATTGCAAAGCTACGCATCATCATAGAACAGAGTAAGGAATGGCAGTCAACTCAACCCTACCTCAACTTCATCGACTTTGAAAAGGCCTTCGACACCATCAAACGAGAAGTAATTTGTCGAGCAGCTGCTTCAACACTACGGAGTGCCACAAATCTTTATCAACTCCATTCAACAGCTATATGAAGACGCCACATACTAGGTGATCCACAACGGAAAGCTCAGTGACGCCTTTGAAGTGAAGACGGGAGTGAAACAAGGCTGCCTACTATCACCAATGATCTTCCAAGTTGTGGAGGTCTGGATCATGAAACAGACAACTGTGAGGAGCGAGAAGACGGGGATAAGCTTGCTGGAGAAGGGAAAAGATCCTAGAAGGTTTGGGTTTCGCCAGTGACTTGTGTTCAATGTCTCACAAACTCGGAGATCTACAGGCGAAAACCAACAAGTTGACAGAAGAAGCAGTGAAGGAAAACGGGACCTCAAGTGAACATAGAGAAGACAGAGGTGATGAAGATACTCAAACAACAACAATCATCAATCACCATCAACGGGAGAAACCTAAAGGAAATAGTCTCTTTCACCTACCTAGGCAGCATCGTTTCAACTACAGGCGGTGGTGCAGATGAGGACGTCAAAGCCAGGATCGGAAAGGCAAGACAGGCCTTCATCAGTTTGAAATCAGTGTGGAGATCTACTGTACTCAACACAACGAACAAGATCCGGATTTTCAACACTAATATCAAGTCAGTGCTGCCTTATGGTCCAGAAACTTGGTGCGTCACGAAAAGCATTTCCAACAAACTACAGACATTCATCAACAACTGCCTACACTGGCTCGATACTGAAGATCAGATGGTCAGAAAGAATAGGCAACAAGGAACTCTGGTCTGGCAACGAACCAATCAACCAAGGACTTATCGCTCAACAAATATGCAGAAAAGGGTGTAAATGGATTGGATTGGACATACACTGAGAAGACCATTTGGAGACATCACGCGCCAGGTTCTCGAGTGGAACCCAAAGGGGAAACGACGAGTTGGGCATCCGACAGTGACATGGAGATGGTGTGAGGAAGAAATGAAAGCTTCTCGGCAGTTGTGGTGCCAGGTTGACTTCAGAGAACAGAGTGAAATGTAGACGTGCTGCCGAGTCCATATTTTCTGCTTGTAAGCTGCTGAATGGATGTGAATTTTGGGGAGTTTTTTGTGGTGGTGATTATTTCACCACTTATTTTCTTACAGCTTCTCCGTGCTGCACGTAATCCGAATACTTTGAGCTGCTGCGAATCGACAGTGAGCCATGTTTTTCGGGTCATAACTCACTGTGACTCCTTGTTCTTTATGGGTCACATCAATATCATGTGTACCGCTGTGTGTGTGTTCTCCGAGTACGTACTCGTATATTTACCTGCACTGACAGGCATCAAGCACTTCTCTGACCAGGCTAACAAGTTGTTCAGGTCTGCCTGAAGCGCACGTATATCCTCATCGTTCCTAATTTCCTGCCAGATTGTTACATCATCAACACGGGGAACCATGGGAGATTTTCTGATATTTGGTGGCTCATTTACGTGTGAGAGAAATAGCAGAGGGCTCGGGACTATGCTCTGCCGCACTCCACTCCCCACCAACTTCCAAGAGAGGAGATGAGAATTGATCCCCATTCTTTATCTTCTATCAACAGGAAAATATCTTATCCACGCTGGCAGGTTGCCAGGGATTCTAGACTTTTCCGGTTTCCCGAGCAACTTGGAATGAGGTGCTTTGTCAAACTCCTTACTAAAGTCTATGAAAATGACATCTACATATATGCTATCATCTTTATACTCAACTTTCTCTAGCTCTAGGGAGGTTCGTCAGGCGAGAGAAATTTCTACGAAAACCATGCTGTGGACAAGACGATAGACTGTCGCTTTCTAGGTGGACTGTGACGGCTTTCTTGATTACTCTTTCTGGGGTTTTTACCACAGTATTAGTCGAACTTATCGGTCAGTAATTTGATGGGTGATGCCACGGACCTGCCCTATGGATAGGTGCTACTGTTGCACCCTTCCAGTAATAGGGGAGTGCGTCTTCACTGAGAGAGTCTAAATACAGTAGTCAATGGCCGGTTACATAGAGCGCAAGCTCTCTGAGCAACCTTGGGTGAAGTTCATCCGGCTTCGTTGATCTTTCCACGTCGAGATTACTTAATATCCGAAATACGTCACTGCGATCGATATCCACAGAGTTTAATCTGTTGGATGTCGGCGCTTCTACCGCTGGATAAGTATCCACAGAAGATTCTTATGTGAAGACCTCAGTAGAATATCCAACCATTGCTTCTGCTTTTTCCCCATCGTGCCCGACCAAACAAGTCAGTCTCGGTCCCATCGATTAGGGCGGGTATACCACAATACATCTTATCTCGATAGTTCACACGGGAAAATACCTTCTTCTGATGCTACAATGCAGCCTGGGCAGGACGTGTTTCAAAGCATATTCGAGACCGGCGGATAGCAGCAATTCATTTACTGCGAATTTCTTTGTAATGCTTCACCACTTCGGGTGTACCGATGTATGTGGCAAGACTCCAGCACTTTTTCTTGCCCCGCACCAAGATTCGGATATCGTGGTTTATCCACGGAGGACAGTATTCCCCCCCAGGAAAATCCAAGAGTTGAGTCGCCCGTGCATGCATCTGTTTGGAGGAGCGCCATGCAGCTTCAATTGAGGCTTCTGGGTTTACCGTCCAGTTCTCAGAAGAGACTGTCAGGTTAATAGCTTCCATATCTGCTTTCCATATGTTGGGTCTAGCTTGGCCATCGGTCTGGTACAAGGCCTCCGCTGTGAACCTGAAGATGATCAGGGCGTGATCACTTTTATCAAGGGGCGCTAGGTTCCAGATGAAGCATACATCACCTGTACATGGGAATACCGAGTCTAGAACTGATAGAGCATGCCGATCATACCTGGTTGGTGTCCTAATACACTGTGTGAGGGTTAAAGAACTTAATGTTTCCACTAACCTGTGGTCAAAAGAATTACGTGGTGCTTTCGTTGTCAGTCTATCCCAGTCAACTGATGGTGCATTGAAATCCACAAACAGACATCAGCATTTATCTGTCCAGAGGGTCAGCTCATTCAGGAGGAAGTCTGCTGCCTCATATTTGAGGATTCGATACATTACGATTACCTTATCATCTTGTCTCTTTCATTTTAGTCGGCAGTGCAGCATTTCACATGTCCCACTTTCATGTGCAACTGTTCCTATGGCTTTTACAACCGGGGTATTCTTAACGCAAAGAATGATGACACCACCTTTGCGTGCCAACCTGTCACTTCCAAAAGGGACGAATCCTCGTGTATTTCACAATCGCTGATCCAAGAAAACAGCCATGTTTCTGAGATGGAAATTCTGTCTGGGCTTTCTATGCTTACCACGTTACCAAGCTCGGTCCACTTGTTTAAGAGACTAAGTGCACTTGTGTACAAGATGGTAACACTACTTAAATGAGTTTCCGTCCTCTCCATAGAGGCTTCGGCATCATTTCTTGCCAAAACCTCACTACACGAAAACCCACTACTTTCAGATCTTGCTCTCCAGCTGCTGGATTTTAGTTCTGTCTCTGTTTCTCGTTTTTTAATCCAGTTAGCTAGGGCCAGATCTTTCGCACGAACGCCCCAGATCCAGAAGTCTGTGAGCATTCTTCGGAACCTGATTCCCCTCATCTGCTGACTTGAACACGACTTTAGGCAGCCAAAACTTGCTTTCACTAATGACTGTCTCCCGTCTGCCTACTCTGCAAATCTTGAGTAGGGTGACTTCCGACGAGTTTTCTGGTAAAAGCTGGTTTATCGAACCGTGTACCTTGCCAAAGTCATGTTCGAAACCTTTAGGCGGTTCTGGGTCTCCACTTTCTTCCACTCCATGGAAGATCACGCACCTGTCAGGGCTACATACTTTGTCCTTGCTCCATGGGATGATGATAGCTGGTTTGATGGCCGTTCTTGGCTCCTAAGCGTTCCGTTAAGACTTAGTTATGAGCCATTTTTCAGAGTCGGGTAAGAAACTTTGCTGAAGCCTAGTCCAGTGGCCTTGACGCTGAGGGCATCAGAATGGACTCGCATCCCTTTCTCTCTAGCTCTTGTCAGTGACTGGGTAGCCGAACTGGGTATGACCTGCAGCTTGCATGGCTCCATAGTTGGCACTGAGAGTGCTTCACTCCTCTTTCTTTCATGTGAAGTGGACCCGATCTTGTGGTCAGTAGTTTTCAGACTTGTCCTTTCAACTCTGGAGATGCGAGAACCAGAAGATACTCGCTTAACCCTGCTTGGTGTAGCTTTTTCTAAGTCGCTATCAGCAGACCTAGTAGGTAATCTACGCGTCCGACTTGCAGCTTGTCGCGGGACGTTCTAAAAATTTGACCCAGCAACCTGTCAGTCAGTGGATGCTGTGTCGTCACCATCGTCACAGATATCGACTTGGACTTTCGGCGACAGTGTTTCAGTTATCGTATTTGGAAGTTTTTTTGCCTTTTCCACCAGAGTGCGAATATCCGAGCAGCACAACGTACAAAGTCAGATACTTCCTGCTTTGCTGTACTTCTGATATGCCAAGGGTGTGAGGCTTGTGCAGTTATCGTGGAACCAACTCTTACATTTACTACACTGCATACCAGAGACCATAGTGAAGTGGCACCCGGCCCTTCCACAAGCATTTTTACGAAACTTTTGGCTCACCACGTAGCAGAAACTACAAAAATTCATCCATTAAAAGTTCCTGCCTCACTTCAATTGAATAGTATAGAGCAAAAATGCAACAGCCTTTGATATGTTAACATAAAATTTGCCAAGAACCTAGATGAATGTAAAAAGTCACTCCCCTTTTCAAACAGCGCGCTTGGATGGAAAAATCAATAATCCCTACAAATTTAACTAACATCCAACCGTCCATCGGGCTAATCATTTTATCCCATTTTATACAGTTAATCACGAAGGTTGGATGTTGAGTTTTTCTTGACACTCTTTGCATAGGCTGCAACAGGTTTACATGCATTTTCGCGGGTGTGTAATGTCGTCATATTCGTGGGTTACGCCTATTTTGGACCAAATCTCTAGGAAAATCTCCATGATCTCCGATATTTGGAATGACATGGGCTTAGAAGGAAATAATTTAAAATTAAGGATCGACTCTTTGTCTTCCTATCTATTTTCTATGTTGGACGAAATGTACAACGAAGAAATTCTGGCGAAGCAAACCGTCATCGACTCCATTAGAAGGTTGAAGGTTTGCTAGAATCAATTCATTCATTCTATCTTAAAAAGGTGAAAATAAAGGAGCTAGAGTCGGAGCTAGGGATGGCTAGTTATGTTCCTGACTCATCATCACTGGTGATGACCGAAAAACTCCTCTATGACCATTTCAAATCACTTTCTGAAAGGTCATCTGCGGTTCTGCAGAGATATAATTCTCTTAAGCAAGAGGAAGAGAAGTTGTGTACACGTCTTGAAGAGATCCAAGTCCCAGTAACTTTCACACACGTCCCGAACTCTGAACAGTTGGAAATCCTGAAAGAGAATATTGATCATCTTACAATAGAAAAGGTAATAATCATGTGTACTTCTCGATTTTCAAGCGCTCACGCTCTCTTCGTTTATCGAAATTAATTCAAGAAGTTAAGAATTTACGAGCAGTCCTACAGCGAGAGACATCTGATGACGAAGAACTAATAGCTCTCATCACTGCCCCTAATGCTATGGAGAATCTCCCGTTGTCAAACAGTTTCCTGAACCGTGTTGCCCGGCTGCGGAATAGTTTAGCTCAGGAGTTGGTTCAGATGGACAGTGAATGTCAGGTGCTCATAGAAGAGATCGTAAATTTGGAAGGACGCCTAAGTATCAGCTCTACTGACGTCGTAAATACAAAGCAACCTGTGTCTTCAAACTTTGTTCACTATGTAAGTTTATCATATATTCTATAACCACCTGCTACTATGATGGATGTAAGTCCTCATTGTTTGTCTTCGAACAGGTAAAAAGTGTGCTCAACAAAGTATAGCTTTTTCTCATCTTCATCAAGAATGATATTTGTTTAGTAAACTGAATTTAGGCTTAATAACATTTGAGTTAAGAATCAGATTAAGCCCCGTCATGTGCAAATCGCATTTGCATCAACTGTATGCTTAAAGGGTTTTAACATTACCAAATTAGCATGTATAACTAGCGTGCCGTTTCTCATAGGCAAATTGCTACTTGGTTATAGTTGCAATGCACACGATGAACTCTGGTATGCGGGACGTATGTTAGGGTAAACAGTCAGCACACGTCTCGTTCATTTCTGGAAGCATTGGTTTCGGAAGTGAGAACTAGTAAATTTGCAGTCAACTGAAAATGAAGTGTAGGAGGTATATTGAGCAAGTATATTCTGTAGATTGGAAGATCAGTCGAAGAGACTGACTGCTCATGTGATTGTGTTACCAACCTTCATAACTTGCAAGTTTACTACCCAACTTTCATGTTTACGCTGAACTTGTTTTGTTAAACTAGAGTGCTAATTATTGGGAAACTTCGAGAGTTCTGTTGCTCTATTAATTCACCGAAAATCGAATCATAGATTCATACTTCCTGTTATTGGTGAGAAGTGGAGACCAGAAATTAAACCCTAAGACTGAAGTTTAGTAAGTGTAGACTACTTCCGACGGTTATAAGGTCGCCAAAAGTGATTCGTTTGGGTCTAAATGGACCGTATTTGATGTCACCTATTCGCATGTCATATGTGGACGTGTACGACAAACTGTTAGTACTAGTAAGGAATTCAGCAACCTTCACTTATTAGAAAACCATGCATAAGAACTATTCACATGGTAACGTACTTAATCCAAGAGAAATGCTACAATGTACAAAAAGCGTTGTTTTGAAAGACACTTGATGGTGTAACATGCTGCCTCAAGTTTTACTTGGATATCTGTTGCCCGCTGAGGAACTTCCTACATTTCGATCGTATATCTTCTCAACTTAAGAGACTAGGAAAGGAAAAAGAAAGGCTGTATAAAGTAACTGATAAATCTTGTACTCGTCGACTGAACGATTTAATCAGGTTGAAAATTAAACGTCTGAGCCTATTATATATACAGAAACTTGTCATGCAAAAGCTCTTCCAGCACGAGAACTTTTTAAAGATTTCACTGGTAGTAAGCACCTTAGTGAAGAAGCAGCCGTTGGTGTGCTTTAAACAAATCGCTTATATGCTAACACAACTATGCCATCCCACACTGTCCACCCATTCCAAATGTAGAGTGTTGTCCAAAATTCACCTAGCAAGGTAAGGTGTTTTCACATGTCTCAAATCACTGGACCCTTCACACAGTTTAGGTTCGAATTCGATATCACGTTTCATATTCATGAAGTGTGCTAATATATTATTATATCCATTGTCTAACTTGGTTAATAGATCGTTTTCAAAAAACATACCAGCTGCCCGTGCTTAAGTCAACGACTCCGAGCTCATATCCGGAATTCCGTCCGATTACGGTTACTTCTCCGTTCTTAAAAATAATGGAGAAGCTAACGAAACCTGTACTGGAACCCACATTAAAGGTTTTTGGAGATCCTGATCAGATTGCTTGTAAAAGCAATGAAAACACTCTAGATTTCACTACTGTCTTATTTCACTGTATTGCCTATAGTCCTGATAAGAATGCCAAGTATGTCAGGGGCCTCTTTTTAGACTATACTTCAGCATTTGATTCTGTTCTAAAACCTTTTGCTGGACAAGCTAGCCAGGACAAATAATGGTTCCTGGATAATCAACTGGCTGTATTCCTATTTCTCTGTAAGGAAACACACTGTTAACAAGTAGAAGCGTTCCACTTCATTGTTTGCTGTGACTAGTATTTCATCCAGGTGCCATCCTTCTCCCTGGCCTTTTCTCTTTCTTTCTATATGAATTACCGTCTTCAGCTAGTATTAATTTTATCAAATATGCTGATGACCTGACAGCTTCCATACTTCTCTTCAACAGATTGTTCCTAACCGAACGGTTTCCTATCTCCTATTAGACTGGTTCTCTATGGATGGTCTTGTGCCTAATTCTTCAAAATATCAGACTATAAACTTTAGTTTCGGACACGAACATCCAATCAAAGCTGTGTGTTGGTCGTCAGCAAAGACCAGGAGGAAGTATACAAAACTTTACGCACGTACTACTAAACATAAAAACTACAGTACCATACTTAACTGGTCTCCTGACCGACGACGAAAGTATCAGGAATAAAGTAACTAATCAGCTTTTGTTTTTAAAAGCAGGTTAATTAAAGAGTACGCAGCTTGATATTATTTGTTTCATGAATCTAATTGCCAATGTGGTTCTTTACGTAAGCTAACTCAGTAGTTTCAAGAAAGTTGTAGATGGAGTAAATATTCTCATCCTTTATTAGCAATTTTTACTTATTATGTTGACGTATGTACTACTGATGTCCAATTGGTACTATATGATGTGCTGAAAATTCTGCACAATGTTGCCGAAATATCTTTCAGAATAAAGCTATTATTACTATTATTATTTTATTATTACTTTTGCACTCATAAAAGCCAATTTAAAAAAGCTTAGTTTTTTACGTTCACTTATTTGCAGTTGAGAAATGAACTTAAACGCCTCAAGGAACTACGTTTGAAAAATTTGAGAACTATCATTTTAAAATGTCAAACTGAATTAGTTGATTGGTGGGAAAATTGCCTAGTTGGTGGAGATGCCCGCGATTCCCGATTAACTTCTGCAAATCAGGAGATGAATGAATCTTTACTTACATCTCTTGAGCTCGAAGTAAATTAGTTTGGTAATAAACAACTTTTAGATTGCCAAGTGGAAAGCGTTCTACTCAAGAAATGAACCATTTTTCAAGGCAGTAGAATCATGGCAGTGTGTTTTGTCTCGTCTTCGAATGTCTGAGGTACGTACTTTTTTCTTAATCCATGCCTCTTAATATGTACCAATAGTGCTTGTCACCATTTTGTGCGCCAAATGTCATTGCATGGGTGAATATTAGTTTAACTTAGACTTCTCATCACTCATTAACTTTATAGTTAGTATCGAGTGCAATATCCAATCGCTTGTCCAGGACCGAGTGCACCTCACTTAAGTTCTCTATCCTACTATGTAACCGTGACCATCAAAGGTGAAGTATAGGAGAAGAGTTCAGTGATTTGACCACTGTTGCGTTCATGTCATAGACGCCCAGCTCAGTAATTTAGAAGTCGTGCCTACATTTTCAGGTGAGTGTAATTAGTCGGTTCTGGGAATCTTCATCGATTCAGATGACAGGGCAAGTGTTACGCATTCCTGGTCACTGTCTGCATTTCAGCATAATGGTGATTGAGGCAATTTGAGGCTAGAATTAGTTTAGAGGCTGTCAGAAAAAAGTAGTTCATAAAGTCTGTTTGTCTGATCTATCTAGGGGATTATGAACTTCCTGGCAAGTTATGTCGGTGGTTGCATAATCTCGGTAATATTGTTCAAAATTGATATCAGCGACGTAGATGTATCCGTACATCGTCTTTATCCTGTCATACTGAATTTCAGTATTTTCTAACTCTTCCCTGTTTTCTTTTGAGGGTTTTCTATCACTTTTGATTTCTATCTTAATTTCTTAATCTTTTAGTGGACTTTCTTGTGGTGTAGTATGAGGTATGGCAACTTAAACTGTCCCGATGTAACGCCTGGTCCTATGTTGACATTGTCTATCCTTCTGTATGAGAGTTCGGGTTTCACGTAGCCAGAGCAGTAAAGCTTATGCTAATGTGTTGAATACCCTACCTCTTCCAGCAAGGGTAAGGACAGTAAACGTTATCCAAATTAGTGTATGCCCCTTTGACTTCCTGTATGCAGTTTAACACTACTAACACAAATATCCAGGTGCACAAATTTTCGGATGGATAACAGTCACTCACCAGGGGTGAATGCAAAGATAGGTCCCCACTGGTCTTGTAGCAGCACTTTGAACTTCTGCAGTGCGTAACACAATGCATGCCTGTCGATACGGATGTCTAGATTATTGATTTGAACATGGCCATTGAAAGTGGAAGATATGTGGCCTCAAGTGTTTGACCACCGTTGTCTTCGTAGTATAGGACGTATTCCGTGGTGTCACCATGTGAGTAATGCAAAAGTTTTAGGGAGTAGAGGTGAATCAGTTGACGAGGTTATGAACCTTCATCGATTGAGATGGTTGGGACACGTACTACATATGCCTAGTCACCGATTGCCTCGTCACACAATGTTGGCTGAAGCAGGTCCAGGCTGGAAAAAGGCCCGAGGTGGCCAGACTAAAACATGGCACCAATGTATGAAGTCTCTGACTGTTGGTTTGAGCCATGTGTGGCGATGCAGACTAGGTGGTTGGGGTCCGCGGGATAACAGGAACCAGTGGTTGGAGACTCTAGGTGATATGGCTCAGAGCCGATGTGTGTGGCGCAGATGTAACACACATTATCCTCATCTTAACGACGCTATACCGAATCCCACCATTTTCCCGTTCTTCCTTTCTTTCTTCTCGTACTCTATATTTCTTTTAACTGAGTTTTTTAATCTTCATCTTTCACCTCACTACCTTTCTACTTGATGTGGTGATATGAGGTGTGGCAACTCGGACCGTTACGCAGTAATGCCTGGTCCTATGTTTATACTGATGATGATGATTTGAACGGAACTCACTCAACCACCTTGTGCACATGCATGCAGCAGATAATGTGCCACATCTATTGTGTGAGAGCTAGTGATACCACCTGGCTGCGTAGACCTCGATATGGGTAGCAGGGTTCGAATCCGTGACCCACTGGTTGATAGTCATCTCCCCGAACCAGTAAACCACAGCCCCAAATTCACTAATTACGGTGTAAGTAGCCTGTATGTTGCTGCACAGTTAGACGTCGGCACGCTGAAAATTGGATCGTCTCTCACCTGGTAACGCGTTAATACTTGCTCACGCCTCCTTCAGGGCTTTCTTCATGTTATCATAGATGGCGAAGTTGAGAAGTAATGGGACCTGGTGATCTTACCTGAAACTACCATTTGTGTGAAACTTCTCTAATGCCTTCATTTCCCACTGCATTTCTTTCATAATCATTACTATGAGAAGGGTAAGCAGTCAGTCAACATTCCTATACATAGTAACTAAATTTAGACACTAAAGGAAGCTTTAATTCCATCTTAATTGTCAAGCGATACCTATCATAAGGTGGGACGGTACTACTCGATGACATTTCAAGCACAATTCACTGCTCATAATCCAACATCTTAATATAATTGTTAACAATCAGATAAGTTTCAGACTTTCATAAAAGTGCATCAATACAATATTCACCCATAGATAATACAATAAAGTTATATTCTTAAACAATCCCAAAATCCTCTTTCTTATGCTTATAAATATTTATTAAATAATATTATTTCTCCACTGGGTTCCTAGTGGGACATAGGGCTTCACTAGTAGGCCTACATTTCACTCTGCTCTCTGAAGTCAACCTGGCACCACAACTGCCGAGAAGCTTTCATTTCTTCCTCACACCATCTCCATGTCACTGTCGGATGCCCAACTCGTCGTTTCCCCTTTGGGTTCCACTCGAGAACCTGGCGCGTGATGTCTCCAAATGGTCTTCTCAGTGTATGTCCAATCCAATCCATTTACACCCTTTTCTGCATATTTGTTGAGCGATAAGTCCTTGGTTGATTGGTTCGTTGCCAGACCAGAGTTCCTTGTTGCCTATTCTTTCTGACCATCTGATCTTCAGTATCGAGCCAGTGTAGGCAGTTGTTGATGAATGTCTGTAGTTTGTTGGAAATGCTTTTCGTGACGCACCAAGTTTCTGGACCATAAGGCAGCACTGACTTGATATTAGTGTTGAAAATCCGGATCTTGTTCGTTGTGTTGAGTACAGTAGATCTCCACACTGATTTCAAACTGATGAAGGCCTGTCTTGCCTTTCCGATCCTGGCTTTGACGTCCTCATCTGTACCACCGCCTGTAGTTGAAACGATGCTGCCTAGGTAGGTGAAAGAGACTATTTCCTTTAGGTTTCTCCCGTTGATGGTGATTGATGATTGTTGTTGTTTGAGTATCTTCATCACCTCTGTCTTCTCTATGTTCACTTGAAGTCCCGTTTTCCTTCACTGCTTCTTCTGTCAACTTGTTGGTTTTCGCCTGTAGATCTCCGAGTTTGTGAGACATTGAACACAAGTCACTGGCGAAACCCAAACCTTCTAGGATCTTTTCCCTTCTCCAGCAAGCTTATCCCCGTCTTCTCGCTCCTCACAGTTGTCTGTTTCATGATCCAGACCTCCACAACTTGGAAGATCATTGGTGATAGTAGGCAGCCTTGTTTCACTCCCGTCTTCACTTCAAAGGCGTCACTGAGCTTTCCGTTGTGGATCACCTAGTATGTGGCGTCTTCATATAGCTGTTGAATGGAGTTGATAAAGATTTGTGGCACTCCGTAGTGTTGAAGCAGCTGCTCGACAAATTACTTCTCGTTTGATGGTGTCGAAGGCCTTTTCAAAGTCGATGAAGTTGAGGTAGGGTTGAGTTGACTGCCATTCCTTACTCTGTTCTATGATGATGCGTAGCTTTGCAATTTGATCCACACAAGATTTGTTCTTCCTGAAGCCGGCCAGTATGTTCCAGTCGTAATTTTGAATCCAGCGCATCCATTATTCTCTCCAGGATGATGTGGCATAACATTTTACTTGGGGTGGACAGGCGCAAAATTCCCAACCAGTTCTTCTTCTTGCAACGGCTTAGGTCTCCCTTCTTTGGGAGTTTGACAAAGTAGCTCTTCTTGCAATCTGCAGGTACCCCTCACTCCTTCCTTCATTGCAAACCGCCTGAAATAGTAGTGTGAGAATGTCAGCTGTTGTCTCTGTGTCTGCTTTTAGTACTTCTGGAGGAATTCCACCTGGTCCTGCTGCTTTCCTGGCTGTCAGCAAGTTTGTGGGGTTCATGACGTCACTTCTGCCTTTGTCGGAGGGAGTGTTCACCAATATTTCTGTGGCTGGGCTCCTGGTGGTATTTCTTGACGAGTTGCAGGTGGTGGTCGATTCAAGAGTTTTTCGAAGTGGTTAGCCCATCGTTTCTTTTGTTCCTCCTCTTTTATAACTAAGTTTCCTTCACTTTCATTGGTTTCATTTGTGTTAGCCTCTTCGCAGATAGTAACCTGGTTATTCGATACGGTGCTGTCAGGTCTCTCCTACCTGCAGCCTGTTCTGCTTCACTTGGAAGTGTGTCGTAGAAGTGTCTTTTGTCTTTCTGCGCACTCTTATTCACTTCTTTGTCCAGTGCTGTATAGGTGGTGCTCGGTTCCTCTTTTCGTTGTTCATCCCTGTACTGCACTGGCTCATCTTCTGCTCCACCATCTTCCTCTCTCTGCTCTCTCAGCTTCCATATGTTCGTCGAGATCCATTACTTGTCTTGTTTCTTCTTCCTTCCTGATACGGTTATGCAGTTTTCCTTCCACATAGCTTTCAAAGAGTCCCAGTGTTCTTCCAGCAGGTTTCTTCAGGAATGTTGCTCAATGTCTCCCATTTTGTCCTGATGGCTGCCATGAAGGTGTCTTTTGAAGTTTCGTGCTTCAGTTTCTGTTCTGGGTGGGTGTTCAACTTGAACAGTGGCCTATCACCAACTTCCTTGAAGGCTTCCAACTTGATTCTGAAGGTAGGTTCCTTGCAATAGATGGTGAGTGGTGTGAACTTACACCTGCTCCTCTTCTTGATCTGATCTTGTGTCCAGTAGGCTGCGTCCTCACTTTCTTCAGATTGAAATGAAGTCGATCTGATTTTTAGTGTATGCCTCACAAACTCGAAGGTCTACAGGCGAAAACCAACAAGTTGACAGAAGAGGCAGTGAAGGAAAACGGGACTTCAAGTGAACATAGAGAAGACAGAGGTGATGAAGATACTCAAACAACAACAATCATCAATCACCATCAACGGGAGAAACCTAAAGGAAATAGTCTCTTTCACCTACCTAGGCAGCATCGTTTCAACTACAGGCGGTGGTACAGATGAGGACGTCAAAGCCAGGATCGGAAAGGCAAGACAGGCCTTCATCAGTTTGAAATCAGTGTGGAGATCTACTGTACTCAACACAACGAACAAGATCCGGATTTTCAACACTAATATCAAGTCAGTGCTGCCTTATGGTCCAGAAACTTGGTGCGTCACGAAAAGCATTTCCAACAAACTACAGACATTCATCAACAACTGCCTACACTGGCTGGATACTGAAGATCAGATGGTCAGAAAGAATAGGCAACAAGGAACTCTGGTCTGGCAACGAACCAATCAACCAAGGACTTATCGCTCAACAAATATGCAGAAAAGGGTGTAAATGGATTGGATTGGACATACACTGAGAAGACCATTTGGAGACATCACGCGCCAGGTTCTCGAGTGGAACCCAAAGGGGAAACGACGAGTTGGGCATCCGACAGTGACATGGAGATGGTGTGAGGAAGAAATGAAAGCTTCTCGGCAGTTGTGGTGCCAGGTTGACTTCAGAGAACAGAGTGATATGTAGACGTGTTACTGAGGTCCTGTGTTGCACTTGTAATGTGTTGGAGAATTAATGAGATGTTTTATACACATGAACATACTCATAGTCCTACTTGGGGTTATATGGTTAGCTTTTCTCGGTCTTCAGTGGTTCTAGGGTAATTCGGCGGCGAGGGCTATATATTTCTTTGTTAGCACTGTCTTTTAATTCTGAATTTTCTCATTCCGTTTCTTCAGCAAAAAATGAAAGACCCTTCAGTTTTGAAAAATCGAGGTGGAATACTTTTGGTTATCGACAAAGAAATAAAACAGTTGAGGCGTGATCTCAGTCGTCAGTATTCAGTTCTGCGAGAACTGTCCTGTAGTTATCCTGATGTAAAAGTTCATGGCTTTTCTGTTCTTGACTACTTAGATAATGCTGAACAGCAGTATAATGTGTTAGGAAAAGAAAATCAGGTTGCACAAAATATGTAAGTTTGCTCAACATCTCTTGTTTATTTTCTGTTTTCTACTGGTTTGTTTCTCTGTTAACGCCTTGTGTCGGTTAGATGTCTGTGAATTCGGCGGGACTTAATTTCATGTCAACTGCTTTGGTATTCGACCAGCCCCGCTTATCTGCTGATGTTCTTGTTGTGATACACCTTATCCTACAGAAAAGATTTGAACCTGTTGCACAGTGTTTAATAATTGAATATTTAGATTATCGAGTAACATTTGCATTCGATCGTCTGTAAATATAAAATGTAGCAAGAGCAACTTAGGTGTGTATTGATCTGTTTGTTAGGTTGCACTCAGTAATATAGACAATTCTAGGCTATCATATCGCGGTCTTAAACTCCTTTGATTATCAGATATTTCACCTAACCTCGGGTTGTAAGAGGCGGTTGACTGCCTAATGCACAATTATGTATATGTGGTTAGTCGTACTTGCAGTCAGCTGGTTTCCATGATTATTCAGTGGCTGATTGAATGCTGTTAGAAAGTGGTGCAACATCTCATGGCTAAGTGATGAGATTCTCAGGGGACGATCATTAGTGAAATAAACTAAAACTGTATGGTCGAAAAGGCTAATAGGTTGGTCTTATCCTGCATCACTTAATAAATGAATATAACTGAAAATAGTATGAAGTGTCATTCAACCAAGAGTACAATTAGTGAAGCTTAAGCCAAAAGCTACTGCGTAGCTAATGATATCTTAACATTAAATAGGTTTCTTTTGTCTCATGACAATTTCTAGGTATATCTTTATTCCTAAGTTGTAACTTACGTGAAACATCCATTATTGTATTTGTTTTCTCTTTGTTAATCCGAGTCTAGGAGCGGAAGAGACTTTTCTGTTTCCTACATGAAAACTGGAATTAGTGCCAAAAGAACGTTGAATGCGAATAAGTTACAACTACGAACTCCACCAAGTTCTAAAAAGCGTTGCATAGGTCCTTCTAATGTGAGTTTTTGTTTTCATAGGTACATGTTTTAGAACCTCTCATTCTTGTTTACTAAATTTGAGAGGTAGGTCATCCACTTCCTTGGATAATAATGTCTAAAGCTTGTAGCCCAGTAGCTTAGGGAGATGACTGTCAACCGGTGACTGTCACGAGTGCAAACCCCACTCTACCTACCAAGGTTTAGATAGGCAGATATTATTACTACCCCTCATACAATAGGTGTGGCTCATTGCTTACCGCTCGTATGTGGACAAGGTGTCTGAGTGCGTTCCGTTCCTTAGTTAATAATGTCCACTGCAGTTACTAGTGTAATAATTCAGCGTTTTACGATGTTTTGAATTGTTCACAGAAAAGTGGTTTCCCACTACCCATCTATCATGATGTCGAAAATTTTTTCAGAAATTACTTAGCAGGGACTTCAGGATATCTGTGACGAGTAATGCTGCTTAATGATATGTAGCAAAACACTCAGTGACTTACAGATGTATACACTGCTTAGCTAACTACATGATATGTTGATGTATCTTATTAAACTATGGTGCATGTAGTTCAAACGTTCAAATTTCAACTAGTGAGGAACGATTTTGAACACCTACTTTACCTGTCTAGGTTTAGATAGTCAAGTATTAATTACTAGCACTCACAACAAGTATGGCTCATAATCGAGTGCTAAAACCTGCGCATAGTCAACAAGTTTCTTTATTATTGTTGTTTTTTCTTACTATATTCCAGTTTATAGTTCTGAAAGGGCATGAATAAACAGCTATCTACCGGTAACGAAGTTACTTATTGGAATCACGATTTATTTTCTGTTTAACGGTTGAGTGATATCAGTAGTCTTTTCTCCATTAACGTTGTGTTTAGAAATGATACGTTACTGTTTTTGAGGTGTAGCAACTTGGACTGTTACGCAGTAGTGCCTGGTCCTATGTTGATCTCAATAATAATACTGTTTTTGAACAGCTGCAATGACAAAATACAAACCAAACCCCGTCAATCACGCGTTGGTTCATGTCTTAGCTTGTGGCTTATCAACTTAGGAATTCAACTTGCAAATAGTGAGTCTTGGTTTCTAAACTTGCTCCACCTAATTTGGCTTCAACAACCACTTGGTAGCATTAGCCCTCACAATGCGTGTGGATCATAGTCCAGTACATAAATATATCTGGATAAGTCGCATAATTTTATTAATATTAATGTGTATTCCTTAGATCACATATATACTGGGTCTATTGATAGTACCATTTCATTGTTGATTCTACATAATGTATGTTAAGTTTGGAACCTCCTAACCAGCGGGTTACATTCAAGCACCTAACTACAGTGTTCCAAATAATGCTATAGTATTTCTGCGATCATGAATATACGATGCGTAGTAAATTACCTAAAGGCTACTTCAACCAATTTTGTTTTCAGTATGTAAAGTTTAGTTTGTTTATTCTCTCATACTACTTTATCTACTTTGATACCACTCCTTCTCTACTCAACTGTTCTTTTTGTGTACTTCTGTGAAGTTTGGCAACTTGAACCGATACACTCCTGTGCAAGGTTCTACGTTGATTTTGTCAGTTGATCAGTCGTTCTTATCGCTTTTAAGGACGCCATTCTATCACCGGTTGTACTACTGTTAAGTGCACTAATTTTTCCATTCGCCTGAAGGCCCTTCTCATTACATAATAAAGTACTTGCATATACCGTCTATCTTCATACACTTCCAACTGAAGTAAACATTCAGAATTTCAGTGCTGTCTTCTTCCTTGTCTTAACCCGTACACTAGTTACCACTGACTCCAAAACCCCAAACAGAAAACATAAAGAAAGAGGACTCATCTGGCTGAGAACCTATATAGCCTCAGAAAAAGTTGGAGATAACCGTACATATGTATATAAAATCCGATGTATGAATTAGCAGTTAGAACCGTGCGAACTATGTGATATTCAGGAACATAACAATAAACCCGTCGTAAGAGATGCGAAAATGGTAATTTTAGAATGTGTAAGAAAACAAATAACGTTTTATGCAAATCTGAGAGACTCACAAAGAGAAGTGTGATAAGCTCAGCGGTCATGTACACATTCGTGCAGTATGTAATGAGCCACACGTATTATGTGAGGATTAAGTTTACTTCCTGGCTACTCAGACCTTGATAGGTTGGACCACCCTCTTTAGATTCGGCGTCCATAGTCTACCGTTTCCGTAAATTTCGACATAATGTCTGTTCATCTTAATTTGAGTGTGTTACCTACGCATTTGTATGTTCTATTTTCCATAATGAAAGGTTAAACGTGAACAGATTTCAACAAAAATAGTTGTTCACTCAATTTGTGTTTTTGTAAAACAACAATTTCCCCACCCCTATTGCCTTTACTCCGCATGTTTCAACAGTTGTAACAAAACAAGTTAAGGAACAAATGAGTCTTTGTATACTTTTTCCTTTGGTAATTTTGAAATAAGCAAGCATACTGGAAATTCGTAGTCTGCAATTGTGGGGTGAAATTTGTGATAATTTGTTGGTCAAAAATACCACTTTGCAATCTAGAATGCAAAACATCTTCAAGATAAGTTCTTCGTGGAAATCAATAAACTCTGTGAGTTGTTCCACAGGAGTCAGAGTTACACCGGTACATTTATTGAACAGAATACAGTGGGTGCTTTGTTTTCGTCTAATCATTGATCAAGAGTACCTCATATTGTCGTTGTTGCACGTGCGTCTTTAGTTAGTAAGTAATGATGTATGTTATCAATATATATATATATATATATTCTACCTAAGAAATAATCATCGTTCTGGTGTGGTTTTTCACTATCACAGTCATTTGTGTCCATTCGATCCACTCCTGTGTGAAATAGATTTAAGCTGTATTTTGTACGTCGGTACTCATATCTTTCATTAGTACGTTCCGTTCTTTATTTCTTTTCGTCACATATACAGATTGTTTCCTATTTTCTAAATTTTTGTTCTGAATTTAGTCCACCGTAACAGAATTCGGTAGCAAATTTAACCTGAATACTTGCCTGTCGCAAAATTTGACATGTTCTAGTATGATATCATTAACTGGAAGTGGTTCTGCGAATACTTTATCAACGGCTCACACACCGATCACAAAAGTAAAAGTCTCAGTAAAAACCCCAGTTGCCTTTAAAGTGCCTTCTGTTTCATCCATTAGTTCATCACAAAAAAAGACTATCTTAAGCACACCTAAACCACGTCGAAGTGGAAGACTCAATGGTAAGAAAATGTGCTCAACTTCACGTGTTCCACAGGTAAGCCTTGTTTTATTCTTTAATTGTATTACAAGCATTAAGAAAAACTTTGTCATTGTAGATGCTATGTGCTAGGTCAAAAGCGTCTAAATTAGCGGAAATTGCGAATCCAACATGAGGCAGTGTAGTTGTGTCAGTGTATTGCACTCATTTCCTTAAAAATGTATATCGGCGTCTGAGAGTTTACTTAGTGTCAGTTAAAGGGTGCGAAGCGAGAATAAAGCTGTGAATTTCATCTTATCTTACGAGTATGATCTCAACGACTCATCGTAGTTAGTTTTCTCCTGTCTCCCATCTTAAACTTCTTATCACTCCTCTCTACTTTAGCATCGCAGCTGCACAGTATTCCATCGGTTCAAGTTACAAAACTTCACAGCAGCACACCAATAACAAGTGGATAAAAAAAGTGATGTCAAAGCAAACAAGAGTGAATATAAAATTAAAAAGATATGATAATTGAAAGCTGTGAATGTGTTCAGGCACGAACAAGCTTCACTGTAACCTGTAACGCGCAGTCTGTGATCAGAATCCAAAAAGGTACTCTGCAAGAAAAGGCAATCCTTCAAATATGGCTTCTGAAGAAATACTCTCTCTATTCCCAGTTATTTTCACGTCCATCTTTGGAGAATGAAACAGCATTTCTCCTAATATCGCTCAAAAAAATAAATGATTATCACAAAAAAAAAGAAAAGATCATCTATGGTGTGGGCTATTGCAGTGTCCGCACTTCCTGTTCACGAACTTTCTCCTATACCTGCATGACCTGATCACTGAATCGCCAGACAGTCGTTGAGTGAATTTTGGGGATTCACTACACTCACGCAGTGAGTTCAGGTGAATAACCCCAAGTAAGCCACGCATGCCTGTCTGAGAAACAGCACACATTCATGACTCGGGATTCCAGAGTTTTGACAACAAACACCTGTTATCCGATTAGACTATGTCTATGGTTCGGACGTTGAAAGCTCCAACGTGGAATCGACAGCGAAGTCTTAGGAGACTAGGAATGAGGTTTCAATGGCTCGGGTCGTTGACAACGGTTGCAGAGTGAGAGGTTGAGGAAGTTGTAAGCGACTCAATATCGGTATCAGGAGAAGGCAAAGGAGGAGATAGCGGTAAGGAGGGTAGGTTATGTTTGATTGGATTTCGTGTAGTACTGGGAGCGTGCAGGTGGTTGACACTTCGCAGTTGCACACAACACCGTGGAAGTTTTTCCTGCCGAGTACTTGAATGTGGGAAAGGGAAAGATTTGCGTTGCTGCAGAGCCCATGGGACATCCGCTTGAAGCCTGTCACACACAACCTTTTGGGGATTGTTGGTTTGAGATCTGATTGCTGTAACAACACTTGATGGGAAAAATCTACACCGCAAGGCAGGGAGGTATGTGCTATTTTACGAAGTGACCTTTTCTCACCCCCTGTCCATGAGAAAGGCAGCACCAGTACGGTACTACTGGTAATCCACGGGAAACACCTTGTCGCTGTCACACGTCATCCAACAGGAGTACGGCTTCGCCATCGGACTTCATCATAGCGTAGGAATTTACACTATGAAGGTAACGACTTACTGTCCCACCGAGCTCCTGCCATGCCAGGAAGTTCTGTCACATTGTTATGTGACAAGCTTAACTACCGCATCAAGGTAACAGGTATCGTTTGGTGCCACTAATTCGGTTAAGTAGGCGTCAAGCTTAATTTTTAGCAAGAAAGGCGGGTCTGTTGATAAGATTGCACCTTCATCGACTGAGGTGACTGGAACACTTGTTACACGTGTCAAGTAACCGTCTGCCTCGTGTTACACTGTTGGCTGGAGTGAGATTACCGGCGTTCAGACAAAAGCACTGCATCAGTCGCAGAAGTGTTTGACTTTTGGTCTAAGCCATGTGACTGAATATAGGGTTCCTAGTTGGGGTCACGTGACTACTGAAATTGGTGTTTAGGGAAATCTAGGTAATATTTCTCACAATTGGTCCTAGTTGTAGATAAGTATTCGTACTTTGTAAAAAAAATGGAATCGAAAAGATAGCATGGGAGTTTCTCCGATTTTGGAGGTTGTCCGGATTAACTAATTGGTTTTAAGTTGGTATTCATCATGGATTGACATTAGCTGGAGGAACACAAACGTGAGGGTGCTGGAATGAAACAGCTGTCTAGTGCTCCCAGGCTTTCATTGCTCTTCCAACTGACGTCAGTACATGAAGAATACTAACCTGAAATTAGCGTATTTGGCAAATCAAATTATTGATGTAAACTTTAACAAATTTAGCATGGGTTGAGATCAAATCAGTTTTAGTCGAATAGTAAAATAGTGGAGATAAAGTAGAAATTGATTTTAAAATCGGTCTCATGAAAGATGATTTATTATTTTATTACTCTTCCTTTGGGTTTCTAGTAGAACATAGAGCTTCAGTAGCACGCCTCCATTTCACTCTGTTCTCTGAAGTCAACCTGGCACCACAACTGCCGAGAAGCTTTCATTTCTTCCTCACACCATCTCCATGTCACTGTCGGATGCCCAACTCGTCGTTTCCCCTTTGGGTTCCACTCGAGAACCTGGCGCGTGATGTCCCCAAATGGTCTTCTCAGTGTATGTCCAATCCAATCCATTTACACCCTTTTCTGCATATTTGTTGAGCGATAAGTCCTTGGTTGATTGGTTCGTTGCCAGACCAGAGTTCCTTGTTGCCTATTCTTTCTGACCATCTGATCTTCAGTATCCAGCCAGTGTAGGCAGTTGTTGATGAATGTCTGTAGTTTGTTGGAAATGCTTTTCGTGACGCACCAAGTTTCTGGACCATAAAGCAGCACTGACTTGATATTAGTGTTGAAAATCCGGATCTTGATGATGAAAGATGATGCATAATTATATTTACTATCATTTGACTGAGATAGCCGTAATTATATTCAACAACTTTTATAGCTTATGCATAATATCAATAAATCAATGATTGCCATGAGTGCTGAAGCTGTGATTCACTGGCCTATTCAGTTGATTTTCAACCAGAGTCACAGGTTAGAATCCATCTTCACCTACCGAGGTCTGGGCAACCAGATAGTATCATAAGCTCATCGATTACTGCAGGCGCGAACGTGCAGTAAGTTACTGAGTGCATTTCAATCTCGGTAGAAGTTGAGTACTAAAAGCAGACTCCTGGATACAATGTTTTATCACCTTTCTGCCAACGAGTCGTTACTTCTAATTTCGCTTCACCCTTGAAGTTCGGATAGCCAGGTGGTATCATTATTCATTGTACAGTATGTAACTTTCGGTATCGGAAACTACTGCACATACATGCCTAATTGGATAAGCTAGTGTTAAAAACTGTGAATATATGCACTGCAAATTCATTGGTTTTCGTAAAATGTAATGCTCATTTATTGGTGCTCAGGCAGGAAAAAGTAGCAATGTAATGCTAGGTTGAGTGTATACAGGTATGACATAACACTTGGATTTCCATCACTAATATAGCTTGAAATACGATTAGATGATGTGCTTACTCCTTTCGGTTTTCTTCATACATATTTTCAATGAAACTGGTCTCGTGGGAAATAATTTATCTTCAAGGACCTCGGTGACACTGACAATAAAAGTCTATACCCATGTACATGTTTAGTCAGTCGGCTAATGTAGTGAGCCACCACTCAGGAAGCGTTACAGTAATAAATGAATGATAATATTTTAATTCAACGTATAAATTTTGTTCGTCTTTGCATGAAGTAATCTGTAGGTCAAAAAAGTTGGCTGTGGGGATAGGTACCCATTGATTTCAATGGATCTCAATAAATTTGGAAGTGTGAAATGATTCGTTGGTTTAGACATCAACTCAACAATCGGTAGCAAAAGAGACGCAAATCATCATTTAATGCAGTCTATGAACAACATACTGCCCATAGTGAACACCAAAAAAAGGTATTGGTACCCGACTGGTTTTAATTTGAAATGTCTTGCGAAAGTTCATTCCATTTTGTTATTTAAGTAGGTGATGCATAGTTTTAAAGTTACAACTTCAACGTATTGCATGCAACCGATAAATGGTGTTAGTCATTGACACAATTCAGTCCTATTTGTTACAGATTTATTTTAATTGAGTACCCCGTTTTTATTAATTCAATGTATAATATTTGTCACAACTTCACATGTTGTTTCATTTTAAAAAATACTGAAAACAGCGATCACCTCGTTCAGTTAACCACAGTGGAACATCTGTCAGCAATCAAATAAAGCGAACTGCACGTTGGACATAAAGTATATTTGATGTACTCCTATGTATAATATCTCTTGTATTATATCATCAGTACTTTTAATTTCCGTTTATTTTGTGATTATTTGTCTATGTATGCCAGGCATGAAATATTATCCTTTTACTACTCGCTTTCAGTTTTTTGATTGATCAAACTTCTTAAGGCTTCAAGACAGCTAAACCTCTTTACACCATGAAATAGCTCAGATGCATGAATTCTTTCACTGTTGATCTGAACTGTGTAAATAGATGCAGACTTCTGTCTTAGGATCATCGTAAATATTAACAACTGGTTTATGATACGCCCCAAAACATCACTATATCTCTAGTGCCAGCCCAGCAATCAACTTCATCCAACACAATAAAACTGTCCTATTCCCCACAATGCTGGGCAACGGAAGTATTGGTTTGCCCACCCAATAGTTGCCACTTTGCCATGGTGGCCAGGTTTGCAGTTCACAATGACCCGACGAGCCACATTAACTGAAACTCTTGTTCCACCGAGCTCCTGTCATGCCAGATAGTTCTGTCACATAACAATGTGAAATAGAAAATCGAGTAGTTTCGTATGACCGTAAAACCTGAGGTATGTCTGCTTGTTCCCTGTCATCCACGGTCTTTTTAGAACACTTGGTTGCCCTACCACCAGCACTTGAGGGCGGCAACGAAGGAAGTTTGTTGTCTTTAAGCTCGACGTTTCCTATCTCCTCTCCGCATACAGCAATATAGTTTCGTCATCAACTGCTAGTCATGTGTGGGAACAACCCTGTTGGTGTCACGATACTTCTAGCCATCGGCATAACTTCGGCTTGCGATGTCCATCCATTTCAACACTGAGTGACACAGATTTGAATCGTCGACGGAACGCCAGTTTCATAACAGTTATAGGTACGTTTTGTTGACAAAACCTATGTCTAGGGCCTCACTGATTGTAGAACTTTGGTTCCATGGGTTTTAAGGAATCGAACTACGCTATAACAGTAACATTCTTATTAAGGAGTTCAAATAGACTAGGTGTTACTTTTCCGTTTAATTTCCTAATATCTTCTAATGGAACATCTGCCATGAATTTAATTTTATCACAAAGAACAGGTAACATCTAATTTTTGTACTCCACTTTGTTGATCAACACAACACCTGGTCCTTTATCGAGCTCAAGAGTTATCACATCAGGATTATCCTGTAAATCTTTTAGAGATTTAAAGGGTTGCATAGTTAGAATGCCTCTTTGTTTCGGATTAGGATGATGGAATTCTTGGTGCATATACACTAGTTCAGCTTTCAACTATCTGATTATCAGAAGATGTAGGAACTAGCGGACTTAAGTGATCATATAGATCTTCGGAATGATTTGCCATCAATGCCCAACACTTCAAATCCCTGAAAGATTTACAGGATAATCCTGATGTGATAACTCTTGAGCTCGATAAAGGACCAGGTGTTGTGTTGATCAGCAAAGTGGAGTACAAAAATTAGATGTTACCTGTTCTTTGTGATAAAATTAAATTCATGGCAGATGTTCCATTAGAAGATATTAGGAAATTAAACGGAAAAGTAACACCTAGTCTATTTGAACTCCTTAATAAGAATGTTACTGTTATAGCGTAGTTCGATTCCTTAAAACCCATGGGACCGAAGTTCTCAAATCTACCAAAAATTCATAAAACTAGTGATCCACTACGCCCAATATTTGTTAATGTGTCAGTTCCACACCCAAATTGACGAAATTGTTGACGGAAACATTGAGCCTAATTCGCAGTGTATTATGTAAGTACTCATTAAAAGATACTTGCTGATTGTCTTACTGATATGAATATCAGAGACAAGGAAATGTGCTCTTTTGATGTTAACTCTTTACTTCTAACGAAGACAGTTAACATTCTTTGCGATTACATATCCTCTGATTTTCCTTATTTCTCCAGTGCATTTAAAAGAGCTACTTTTATTATGTGCAGATAACGTTCATTTCACTTTCGGCAAATTGATAGTGTTGCTGTGGGGAGTCCGTTAGAACCGTTGTTAGCAGATGTATATATGTCACATATTGAAATAATGGCTCAGGACTCAATTAGTAATGTCACAGTATGGAATATATGTTGGTGACATTATTGTAATATGCGACACAGATGAGGATGCCGTGGGTTTGCTAAAGAGGCTTAATACCGTACAAGATGATACCAGCTTAACATGCGGGGGAAAAAAAGACCATCAACTTGCATTTCTTGATGTACTGTTGTGTCGGATGGAAGACGGTTCTATCAGACCTTCAATTTATAGAAAGCCTACTTAGACGGGACAGCACTTAAGTTTTTTCACAGCTTTTGTCTAGAGGCTCAGTAAAATGCTTATTCAACAGGATTCAACGTATTTTTACATCTGTTACAATGATGAGAGCGAATTTCTGACAGATACACTTATGGAAGACGGATATCCACTACAGTTTCTGAACCGTTGTAGAAAACATCTAACCCCAAAGCTTATAATTTACTCAGCCCCAAAAATGGTATATTTCTTAAAGGACAATATAGAGGGGAAACGAATAGTATGATATTGAAGCAGAGATTAAAATCTGTTATTAGTGAAACATATTATGCAGCTCAGCTTATCACTGTTGAAACAAAAAGACACCCCCTCAACCTCGGATAAATGATTATGTCACATCCCAATTTACATGTATGTGTAGGCACACAAACATAGTGGGGACTGATCGTTCTATGCAGACTAGAGTGGCTTGACAAACAATTTAAAATACAAACTTTGATAAGTGCAGGTGACAGCCAAACATACCATCGAAATGAACAATAATGCTAATGTGAAAACAGCATTTAAGGTATTATATAGGAGCAGTCAGGAGCACATACTGAAATTTGCTGAAGCGTTAGCCATCTGGAAACGCGTTAATTCACTTGGTTTACCTTGGTAATCCTGTAATCTGTCACGACTTCTTTCATATATATTAAATTTGACGTATGTGTGGTCAGATCGTGCGAAAGGTATTGCGTAGATACATCGCAGTTGTCAGATAATCTTCGTCTTCTAATAACGCTATCGAAATTTATCAGAGACTAATCGTTTCAAATTATGTACAATTTGTTTCATGTGTGACAGTAGTTAGTTAAGCATACGACAAGCAAAGTGATGCATACAAAATCGAAATATTATTCTCATTCAGAAATAAGTGCTTTTGAATGTTAAAAAAGAAATGAAAGGGCACGGCAAGAAGCAGCGCTAAATTATCATAACCTTGAAATGCAGGGTTGCTTAGATTTGTGATTCATTGCACACGGTACATTTTACTTGTGTAATCCCGGAGTAGTGAAAATACACTTCATGCGATGGATCATTTAAGACTATTGCTCAAAATATAGAAAATTAATGATGATTCGGTTTGAATAATGAGTTGATTGACATGAAAAAATTATTCAGCAAATAAAATGTTACGCTGGGTGAAGTAAGAAGAAATAGCTGATAACATGTAGGAAATGAATAGAATGAAAGGGTTAGAAGAGGGGAGTACTGAGACGTTAAAGATCAAAACCCAAAAGCAGCAATGGTTGGAAAAACCGCTTTTGTATGCAAATGCCTGCTTCTCTATTAGAATTGCTAAAACTTCAGCAATACAAAGGAAGCGGATGACTACTAACTTTGACAAGTTTCTGTTCAATTTGCAAACGACTTTGAAAGAGGAGGTTGTTGAAATTGGATGACTATTGTTGATAGGGTGTTTCATTGTCGCACTTCTTGTAGAGCCACTCCTGCCCCTTTTTAGCCGTACAGAACCCTTCTGGAGAGGACCTGCATGAAACGGATATGCCCGGCTCCACAGGAGCAGGTATACTGATACATACAGATGCGAAACCTTGTCTTTCAGATCATTACTAGGTAGAAGGGGACTGGAGAACACTACTTTAGGAGTTGCTGCAAAGAACATTCTAATTTGGGAGTTTGAAACCCCTCTCTTTAGAATGTCAGCAATAAATCACCTTTGAAGTCAAGCTTCGTGCGTAGCGTCGTCTTCGATACAGAAATTGAGTCACGTCTTGTGGGTTTCAGCTAGATGTTCTTATCTGTGAACCCAGGTGGATATCAGTTTTCGACTAAACGTTTTCTAGGAATTACTATTTATCGATATACTTGTAATTCTCCGTTGTTTTATTGGATCGAATTGTTTGACAACCAACTAAATTACTATAATTAACACTATATCGAGGTCGAACAATTCGATCCAGTAAAACAACAGAGAATAACATGTCAATAAATAGTAATAACTACTACTCGTTGTATAAGAAGTGGCTATTGTTCTGCGACATGGTGGATAACACCTTGGCGTTTGAAGCGATGGGTACGGGGTTCGAGTCCCAGCGAGAACATCACTCACTGGGGCGCAGGTACACCCAGCTGACAAGTCCCAAGTAGGACGAAACGCGCATCCTGGATTCGTCTGATAGCCACAACCAACCAAGTTTATTCTAAGAATGTTTATCTTCTCACCTATAGCATCTGGGCTGAGAATTCGCCGGATACGAGTAGCAAGGGATATAATTAGACTTATCTTCCGACCAATGGGTGCCTACCTGTAGAAATTTGCGAGTTGCCCATTCCATGTGGACTTGATATGAATCATCAATCTTTCTTGTTAGCTCTACGTCAAGATAGGAAATCTTCGATCCCAAATTCACAAATACGGTATAAGGAAATTAGTTTTCGGCTGTTTAACGTCTAAAAAACACCACTGTTCAAAAAATAACGCTAGTTTAGCGTTCAAAACACTTTAAGTATACTCTGTTTGCACTGTCACATCCACATACAACGCTCAATTATATTTCGGGAAACTAGAAAAATATTAGGAATATCTACCAAACGTATACACAAGTTAAGTTTATAAGAAACGGTCACAATTATTACTGTCGTAGTATACATGTGAAATGCTGATATTTTTGATACATTCCTGCAATGTGCACTTCGTCATCTGTGTTAATAAATTCTCTTCTTTCGACCAGAGACAGACGTCGTTTGCATCAAAAAACGGGTTTTCACTTGTTTTAAATTCAAAATATTTTTCCTCCAGCTGCTTTTTTCGACACTTGATGCTATCACCATCACTATTTATTCGCAACTTCATTTCCATACAATATGCATGCAACATCATACGCTTTAATTTATGATCCAAGTTTGTATTATGACTTTTATAAATATCATTCATGTAATGTATATCAGGATGATCAAATGGACGACGTACGTAGGTGATATCTCCAGCAATTGGATGACCTAAGGCTACTGCACAATGTACACGTAACTGATGTCGACGTCCAGTATTAGGAATAAGAAGTACGCGGGTGGCTGGTTCGCCCATCAACTTTCCATAACCAAGAATAACAACCGTTGTAGAACATTCACGTGGTCTCTGAAATATTTTTAAGCAAATTTACGTTCCAAAACCGAATAGATAAAATGAGTATTCTCTAAAGTTGTTATTTATCAAATTAAAAAGATAACTAACGATTTTTAACGACAATGAACATTTAGAAGATTCACATCGATATGGAAGCAAACGGAAACTAATTCACGTTATCGATATCCAATGAATCCACTTTAACGACTTATAGTCACTATTAATGAGTGTTGTAGCGACCATGTGAGCGATGCAGATATTAGATGTAAGTATTACAAAATAGAAACAAGCGAAACTACTAGTTTAATAGTAAGTTATCCATGTAAGTTCATCGTCTACACAAATATGATCGCTGGAGTAGAACTAAGTTCAAAGATGGCTACACCAAGATGAGAACACTACCTATATAGTCTTTTCCTGATCGGTAGCTCATTGATCTCGACACTTGACCTTCAGCTAGTGTCACGGGTTTGGACCCCGATCCACCTACATGGGTAGCGTTATGCTGTGTGCTACTTATACGAACACGTAAATACCACACAGCATGATGTCCACGGGAACAGCAAGTGGAGTTGTCGTCCAATAGTTAGAGGTTTTGAAGGAGGAAACGACAAATATAGGAAGGGAAATAAAGAAGCAACAGAAATTGCAAACCAACTGATTTCGAATGCAGGACGTAGGGACAATTTGGCGTTAAATGCATTCAATGTAAGGTATTCATATTTTGCCAAGACTAACTAATTGCGAAACACAATAATCATCAATCCTCATTTGTGTTGTTATTACAGCGGTTGTCACTGATTCCGAATAAAATGAAGGTGCCATAGTCTCAAGAGCTCGAGGATGTAAGGAGCTTTCTGAAGGACTTTGAAGTGGTCGCAGAGTTCGTAGGTGTCTAGGAAGCGAAAGTAATGGTACTGAAAACGTAGTTGAGAGGAAGAGCGGAGGCAGCGTACGACATCGTGGAGGGGGGTTGATAGAATGACGTCCTCCTTGATGACTAGTTACTCGCAAGGTTTGAAGACACGGAGAATAAACAGGAGGATCGGGACAGATGGCGACCCATGGGAATCGGTAGTAACGTCCACAAACCTGTTACATCGAGGGTTTCCCAATTTGGATGAAGAGGCCCAAGCACACTTTCTGATATCCCGGTCAGTCGTACAGTAGTCACAGCTAGTCAATGTCACACAACCGATGGACACAAGCTAACTGGCCGAAAAGACCAGGTAAGTCCGACAGTGAGGTTCGAGAAATAAACATTATCGTGAAACAAGCTGAAAAACGCCAGCATCAGGTGACAGCTATCTAAATAATAAAAACGATGAGTGCTTCGCCTGTGGAAGAATAAGGGACTAGCATAGTAGCTGTTCGGAGAGAAGTTTATGCAAGTATTTTAAAAGGCACAATGTGCCTTTTTCGATTAAACTGCGGGTTGTTGCAGAGATATATGGAGGAGCGACTTACACAAGATTATACATAAATGAATGAGAATTAGTATGTCTAGCTGACACAAGAACACAGAATCTATCAATGGACAAAAACCTATATACCCTTGCCGTCCAAGTTGCAATAGTGTTCAAAATCGATCATAATAATACAAATATATACTCTTTACCAGTTTTTTCTTCTAATATGCATCTGTCTACTTCAGTGCCATTCTATTCTCTTTTTACCTCATCTTGGTGTGTTATAGCAACGTACAATAACTTGAGCTGATGCAGCACTGTGGAATTTTACGTCGATTTGTTTGTCTCCTTAAGACAGAGACTAGTCGAGAGAGATAATTGTTCATTATGTGAAAATAATTCAGTAAGGCTAAAAATCCTTCGAATGGTGCATAAAAACACAGTTATCAGTCTAAGCGAGATATTTCTACAAAATAAGATAAGTCTTGCAAAAGAAAAAGTGCAACAGCATTTTGAGAAATGAGTCACAGTAAACACAAATGTGGAGCACTTCTTTTGCACAAAATACACCAGTGGAACACAAAAAATAAGAGCAATCAGTTCCTCATATGTAATTGATTTTAATTAAAGAAAGCATGATAAGGTAGTGAGAGATGAAGATGTGCTTCATCGGCTGAGAAACTTGACTATCAAATGGGTCTCGGGTTCCGATTCCACCCGACCTTTAGAAGTAAAACTTGAGCACTGTGGTTAATTGTAATTCCATTTTAGTCTGTTTATGAGAAATGTCACACAGCGAAAAAGTATCATTTACTGGATAACAATTTGAACATAATTTATTGTCCATATTCAAATCAGGTAACTCCACACGCTTGAGACAGTTTACATATTTCTAATTTTCTCTCCTACTATGTGATAACGGTAGTAGAACTTTCTATATATCTGGGATAGGTGCAGAATCCTGTCTATTACATGTATTTGGTGTTGATTCGATAAACAAAGATTCGGAAGTCAATATCTCCCTCCAATTAACTAAGTTTTTAGTACTGTCGCTTTATAACCTAGCTTCTCACTAAATTTCTTATCTTATCACGATATAATTTATCTAGGTTTTTGTGTCTTGTTGTTTTAATTAAACCTAGACAACTACTTTGACTTGTGTATTTGAAAAACAGAGCCTAAAAACTTAACCAAATCAAGATTAGTAAATCCTAATAAGACATAAAATTTAGAGAAAACCTTGACAATAACTAAGGATGCAATTGTATACATTAACACAGCAGGATGGGATAGAGCGACAATGTTGAAAACTAACTTAATTGGGTGGAGGGAGATATTGATTACTGAATCTTTGTTTATCGAATCAACACCAAATACATGTAATAGACAGGATTCTGCACCTATCCCAGATATATAGAAAGTTCTACTACCGTTATCACATAGTAGGAGAGAAGATTAGAAATATATAAACTGTCTCAAGCGTGTGGAGTTACCTGATATGAATATGGACAATGAATTATGTTCAAATTGTTATCCAGTAAATGATACTTTTTCACTGTGTGACATTTCTCATAAACAGTCTTAAAGGAACCTACCCCACCTACTTCGATCAGAGCGACCGAGTTTATCATAAGCCCTCGCACGACATTTTTGGCACATAGCCTAGTGTATACAGACATACAGTGCTGAGTTATATTATTATCTGAATAATTTAGTTATTCATGGATCGAAAAATAAAATCAGTGTTGAGAGGTGCAGCGAACAAAATTTGCACGCTTGTCTAACCTGAATGTAATATTATATTGTAGACTAAGACATTAATACAACAAGATCTTTTTCATATTTATTGAAAAATTTATTTCATTTCCTTTGCGTACAGGTTCAAGTCTGAGTAATTAGAGTTTTTCCATAGGTTTTAGGACTATAAAGTCAGAGATTGACTTAAATCTTACGCAGAGCCTGACACACAAGAACGCTTGTAAATGGGATATTTCCATGTCATTTCATCTAGTTGTTCCCCTTTGCCCGAGTGATATTCCTTGGAGATGATACCGCTCCAAAGCTGAAGTTCGTATTTTTTTAAGCCAAGTTTATTAAACGCTTCTCAGATTCACAAAACTGTATCACTTCATTTATAAAAGATGGGAAACATATATATAAAGGGAAGTAACTTTTTCCTAAGTTTCCCAGCAAACGGTGGGGGACTTAACTTTCAAGCTATGAGTCACATCTACCATTTGCCCCATCTCACTTACTGCAACTCGGATAGCAGACATACAGGCATACTTCGATAACCGGGTTACACCATGAATCCTCACTCAATAAGTGCATCCCCAAACTATTACATAAACTTGTTATGGATAGTTTTATTTCACTTCCGAAATTCCCTCATCATGAGATTTTTCGTACACTATCAAACAAGTATTGCCGATGTTATAGTCAGCCTGGATTTCAACAATATGTTCAAATACTATATATAAGCAACAGTTACTCTTATGATGAACCAATTATACTAACTGAAATCATGTTAAACTAGATACAGAAAAAGAAGTTATTTACTCACATGACATTCTGGGTGTGTTTCTGGAACGACTATCTTTTGTTTACGTCCACTATCGGGCCAAAAATATCGAAAGGAACCAAGTGGCATTTGAATGTGATATACACATTTCGATTCGTGTTTAACAAACGATGATAAATTCAAGTTTTGCACTGAGCCAACATATCCCCAGACAATAGCTAAATAATATTTCTTAACTTCTTTTTTCTCAAATGCACGTCTTATCTATGAAGAGAGAAACAGTAAAAAGAAAAATATGTTTTCATTAGTGGCGTACCTATTCATCCATAATCTACTTCAGAATTTTTCACCCAATCAGTCCGCTTGTTGAATTTCAATAATAGAATAAAAACAGTATTTGCAGCATAAAATGAAGCCATTTATTTTACTGAGTTTTCATCAGCTGCATGCAAATTAAATGAGTACATGATCAATATGCATGTGTAAGTTCTTTTGATATTAGTTCAAACGCTGAAGAGGCATACACATAAATTAAGTCAAACAGGACACATTTACAAGGAAAAGGTTTAAATTTTCCTGAATAGGTGAGAGAAATATAGACATCATAAGAGGTGTTAACTCAATCATATGGAAAGCCATACATACAAAATTGTTAAACGAATATAGGCAGCATTAACAACTGTAAAGGAATTTTATTCAACTTCATGATAAATAATAATTAAACTATTCTATCTGGAGGTTTATTAATTGATTTTAAGTTGGAATTCATCATCCAATGTCGTCGTTGGATGTAGGTCGCGCTATATCGTGAACTGACAGAAGAAGTAAGTGTGGACCATTGAATTCCTAACCAACGGCTCAATGGTAACGTGCTGACCACGGAACCTGAAGTGCTGGGTTTGATCCCTGACGGGGTCATGGGTGCGCACTGCTAAGGAGTCCAACACTAGGACGAAACAGTTGTTCACTGCTCCCAGGTTTCCAATGTTCCCCCAACTGATGTCAGTCCATGATGAATTCCAACCTTAAACTACAAAAGTACTTGGAAAGTCTCCATTAAATGATATCATGAAAACAATTAGCCGAGAATCACTCATTTTATCGATATGATTTTCAAGCTGTTTAATATCATACAGATATTACAATAGAAAAGGAGTTTTTTGTAGAATACTTTATAAGGGAACTTCAGTCTCGGTGTTACAGCCTGTAGATCCAGCTGAAGACTTGCAAACAGGACAAAACGTGTGTTTGACATTCCACTGCTCATCAATATCCGATTACAGCCCTCGCCATCGGGTATGTAAAATAATAAGCAAAAGACTTAAGGAAACCGAAGGTATTAGGTTAAATCATGCAATATGACTAAAGGAAATAACAACTTTAAATTACAAGAGTGAGAGATTAATACTGTTAGTTAAAAAGAGAATGGTATACGAAAAAGACAGAAAGCGACATAATAAGGAAAAATCCTGACTGGTACCCAGTTTACTCAGAGCTTAAAGTTTTGTTCTTCGATAAATCATCACCAGGTTAGAGGACTAGTGGTCACCTCAATTTGTTCCCTCGAACATATCATTCAATTGTTAGGCATTGTACATTTTTGAGATATTTGTCTACATCAGGAATGCCTGAGAACATTCCACACACTTTCTTCAAGCCTTGCAGACTTCGTGCTTCTTTTGGTTCTCGGTTTGCTGATCAAGGTGCGCTTGAAATACATCGTTCGCAAGCATTCGTGTTTTGGTCTTTTCAATACGCGTCGTTGTTAATCGAATCACTATCAACGGGCACTGGACCTATTGTGTACACGAATTGAACGTATTCTCTCACACCGTAGATCTATTAAAACCGATGGTTGCTCTAACGGACTAAACTGGTGAACCCGATGTGATCAAACGTTCGCAAGTTTTACTGGTGGATATTATTATTGTTTTCAATTACGTACCGCAACCACTGTACACAATACGGATATATATACTGAGAATATCTCCAGCTGCTTTGTGGTAGCCATTAACATACTTGTTTATTGCATTTTTCCTACTCTTATTATTTTAAGTTCTTAACATTGTTGTATTTTTGCTCTACCTGTACTGATGTCTTTAAACTCTCATAATCAGGGCTTTTCGAATGTAGGGTCCGTGGGTGCCGTTAGTCTTCCTATGCTTTCTTTTAAGTTCAATGATTCGCAGTAGTGGTTTGCCCGTCTAGAACATTTTTTCATGACCAATCATATAACTTCACAAAACGCAAAGTTCGGATACACAAGTTATGTTTTACCGGAAGATGTGGCCGAACATGTAAGGGAGACGCTATTGAAGCCCCACCCAGACACACTTTATGGTGTTTTGAAGCAAGAAGTGATGAAAGCTACTTCTTTATCTGACCAGAAAGCTGTCGATCAACTACTGAATAGCGTATGCCTTGGTGACAGAACACCACAACTTAAACGACATGCAAAATCTGTTGAAAAATAGGAACGTAAATAACCGTCTATTCTAGCAGCTTCGGCTACGGAGACTTCCTATATGTATTCAATAGATATTAGCTGTCAGAGATGCGGATATTGACATTGATAGATTGGTTGACATCGCTGACCGTATGTAAAAAAGAATACCTACACAGGTTGAAGGTATTGCTAAGCCAACGCAAAATGACCGAGCGGCTGATCTAGAGAGAAAAATTGATATACAGGACAACTGATGGCTTTGCAGTTACACCGACGGTCACCGAAGTTCCGTAGAAGCAGACCCCGCAGTTGTCACAAGACCACGAGTAGAACTGCGTCGAAAAGTAGCACGTGCTGGTACCGTCGTAATTTGGAAGAAATGCCAGACACCACACTTTCCCATGTAGCTTCCACAAAATGCATCATCAGGGGAACGGACCTGCCGGCGGTCTGTGACGACAGTTGCCGCCGGCGTGAACATCCCCTACAGTCGTCTCTTCTATGTAACTGACAAATCGACTGGCGCACAATTTTTAGTTGACAAAGAAAAGCAGTACCCAAACACGCAGCTACTGTTACGAGCAGCGAGCAACTCCGAAATAAAGACGTACGGAACACAAGAATTGACACTAAGTTTTGGACTTACTACTTCGTTGTCTTGGAAGTTCATCGTAGCAGATGTTTCAGTACCTATAGTCGGCACTGATTTTCTAAGACACTACCGTTTATTAGTAGATGCTAAAAAGCCTATTCTTTTTAGCACCGAACAGAGCATCTTCATAAACGGGATATTTTTCAAATGAAAAATCGATGAATTTGGTATCCGTTTCACATCAAACTTGTCTCCACACTACCTTATCACGTCAATATCCCTGCATAACCCAGCCTACGTACCAAGCTGAAGATGTAGAGTATGGAGTAGTGCATCACATAAAAACCAAAGGACATCCTGTCTTCTCGCGTCCAAGATATCTTGATCCTAATCGCTTAACCATAGAAAAGAACGAGTTTGATAAAATGCTAAAACTTGGGATTATACGCCCTTCTAATAGCCCTTGGGTATCACCTTTACATATGTCTTCTTTAACGTCTTCTTTGAAGTTCACCGAAGTGCAATTTGATGACTAAGGTGATCTGTGACACATCAACTAAAAAACCCTGACCCTATCTACCACATGCTATGAGATGCAACATCTTTGAAAACATGCATATCTCTCATCCAGGGCTAAACCCTACCATCAAACTGATCACCGAGCGTTTTGTATAGCCTAATGTGAATCGCGACGTACGGAAATGGGCACAGTCATGTTTATCCTACCAAAGAGACAAAGTACAAAGTCATACTGTTGCTCCTATAGGTGCATTCGGTTAATCAGATGCTAGATTCATCCACAAACATGTCGATATTGTTGGACCTCTACCGCCATCTAATGGTTTCAACTACAGTTTAACTTGCATCAATCGTTTTACCAGATGGCCAGTCGCAGTTCCTATTAGAGACATTTTAGCGAAAACAATCCCCAAAAGTATCATCCAAAATTGGATTTCGAATTTCGGGGTACCCGCTTTGATTACTACAGACCGAGGTGTACAGTTCGAAAGCAATCTTTTTCAGTAACTCACGGAATTACTTGGGATCAAAAGACTTAGGATGACCGCTTACCATCCAATTGCCAATGGAATGGTAAAAAGATTTCACCGACAGCTAAAAGCAGCATTAACGCCCACTCAATGCGATGGTAAGTGGGGTGACGAGCTACCGCTTGTTCTCTTAGGCATACGGTCAACGATGAGACAGGATCTTGGTTGTTGTACAGCAGAATTAGTTTATGGAACTAGTCTATGATTGTCAGGGGACTATTTCAGCCAAACGATTGAAGTTCCACAGGATTTAATTAACTATGTGCGATGATTAACGGTTTGTATGAAACGTCGGCGACGACAACCCTCGAGACACCAAAAACAACAGTTGTATGTACCTCAAATGCTTCAAGACTGTACTCACGTATTTGTCAGGTACGATGGGGTTCGCAAACCGTTACAACCTCCTTACGGTGGACCTTACCGCGTTATCAGGAAAACAGACAAAGTATTCACCATAGACCACTCCGGAAGACATGAAGCGGTTAACGTCGACAGACTTAAACCAGCTTTTTTAGAATCCGCTTCGGAAATCATGTAACCTGTCGAAAACGAAAACAGACAGCGAGAAATGAAAACTCTTACAAATGAAAAACGTGAAAAGCCGCCGTCCGCTAACACGGAAAACCACACGAAATCAGGAAGGAGAGTTCGTTGGCCTAAACGATTTTTAGAAACAATTTATTTCTACTCCCTTCAACCTCCAACCTTCATTCATATGATTGGTCATGAAAAAATGTTCTAGACGGGCAAACCACTACTGCGAATCATTGAACTTAAAAGAAAGCATAGGAAGACTAACGGCACCCACGGACCCTACATTCGAAAAGCCCTGATTATGAGAGTTTAAAGACATCAGTACAGGTAGAGCAAAAATACAACAATGTTAAGAACTTAAAATAATAAGAGTAGGAAAAATGCAATAAACAAGTATGTTAATGGCTACCACAAAGCAGCTGGAGATATTCTCAGTATATATATCCGTATTGTGTACAGTGGTTGCGGTACGTAATTGAAAACAATAATAATATCCACCAGTAAAACTTGCGAACGTTTGATCACATCGGGTTCACCAGTTTAGTCCGTTAGAGCAACCATCGGTTTTAATAGATCTACGGTGTGAGAGAATACGTTCAATTCGTGTACACAATAGGTCCAGTGCCCGTTGATAGTGATTCGATTAACAACGACGCGTATTGAAAAGACCAAAACACGAATGCTTGCGAACGATGTATTTCAAGCGCACCTTGATCAGCAAACCGAGAACCAAAAGAAGCACGAAGTCTGCAAGGCTTGAAGAAAGTGTGTGGAATGTTCTCAGGCATTCCTGATGTAGACAAATATCTCAAAAATGTACAATGCCTAACAATTGAATGATATGTTCGAGGGAACAAATTGAGGTGACTACAGTTTTCTGGAGAGCCATACTTGCAAAAGTGTTTCGCAGTTTTTGAACTAAGCAACGTGCCAGTTTACGGTGTGGAGAGTTGATCATTAACACAACAGGTCTAAAGAGCATGTGAATCTAATATATTTTGATTGACTATGTAGGGTAGACCACATCGTTTGAGGTCCTTGCTCATCGCAGGCTCAATTATCAATCACTTGTTTCTGAAGACGTCCTCTGAGTTCATTTTTAATTCTTTTCTGGTTAGCTTCAGTTATATTTTTCTGATACCTGCCCACCTTGAGTTGTGGTAAACCTGGAAGAATGGATTTCGTTTTGCCCCATATACTTCCTTATTCATGATTAGCACTCTCGATCCCTTCGCAAGTCGAAGAATCACAATTGCATACAATTAGTCCTTTTGATAAATTTTGTAAAGTGAGAACAACAAATCTATCGTGGGATCAAGTGAATATATTGAGTTTTTTTGATATTACAAACGAAAAAATAGAATTAGAACTATACAAACCATGCTTCAAAGTTATAGAGTTACCTCGAGATGACTATGGATAATAAATTGTCCGAAAATTTATCTAATAATTCTGTTTCACTCTGTGATATTTTTAATAAACAAACTAAAATGGAAGTAAAATCTACGGTCAAAATAGAAACATTCGCATCAGTCCATCATGTTTAATGTATGACAAGCAAAACAAACTGATAGAACTGTCAGCTTGAACCGATCATCTGATCAGTTCTATGAATTAAGATTTCTATGTTCATAAAATGTGGAGTAATACGGTTAAAATTAGAAAGTCATTTCGAAAAATATACCTATTAACAACCATATTAAGCCTAACCTGTTTTCAGTAAAATGATCGCAAAACTCTAAACACTAATGACCTTATTAGAAAAGGATTGAATCATTCGGGGAATGTAGATGAATATACAGCTTAAAAGTATAAATTTCTCAAAATTCGCAGGTATCAGTCACAAAATGTTTAACATGCATCTTATGTTTTCAAAGGCCAAAACGATATACGATGGAATGATTCTGCTCTCATATAGTTTAACCTTAAGTAGGAAATGTACCGACTAAACTGTGTAACTTTGTGTGAGTGTTGGATCGAGTGTATGGATCACCAAAGAATCATCACTGGAAGAAAAGCGGAGTCACCATTGATAAGACAAGGTATCAAACTCACGATAAACCGTTCAGTATGAAGTATGCATAGACTTCCACCTAACCAATCTACACAAAACATAATTACTGACTGTAGGCATCTGAACACCACAACCTTACAAGAATAGCTTTGCATAGGAAAATGGTATGAGCATTACTGAAGTTACTATATGAAGAGGGTGTCTACTCGATTTTATGACCATATCCCGAGATATCTGTGTCTGAAAGGTAGCAAGGTCTTATTAAAGATGCGATCTCTAGAAGTCTGATAGAAACAGGACATCAAATAGATATTTCTCAAACCTACAGGATGATCAACAAACAAAGAACGCCATGCTTATTACTGTTTGCGTAAGCTCTGGCTCTCAAACATTTTCAACCTGACCTGCGTACTCAGAAAGAGACTGTAATTAACCTTTCTTTACCTTGGTAACTATATAATTTTTTGCATGTGCGTGTATATAATCTTCCTTTTTCTGATTTCATCATTTTGAAGTGATAGGTACGAGGTTCGAGTCTCAGTAGGAATAACATTATTCACTGGAGTGCAGGTACACCCAGCTGACGAGTCCAAAATAGGACAAAAGGCGCGTCCTGGATTCCTCAGTTAGCCACAACCAAGTAAAACATCATCTCTTCACTAATTACTAACTGTTAATCATTTGACGATTTTCCAGTTTTTTATGTAATTATGTAACCTACTGGCTCTTTAACAACCCCTTCTTTTACACTGATGTTTGTTTGCTGTCCCCTCCCCTTACTCCACAGCTCTAGAATTTTCTACTCACTCGATACAAATTGCCACTGATTTTGGCTAAGATTTGTAATTATTAATCCCGTGTTTCTTTGACTCAATACCTCATTGTTAATCCAGGATTTTAAATCTCCATTTGTTTCTACATATTTAAAGTATGTTATGCCATTATTACCATTAATACTTCATTTCACTCGTAGACTGTTTGGGGCTGATGAAAGGCCATGAAATAAAATGAGCTCATTTTATGCTGCAAATGTCTTTTTTCTCGCATTATTCAAACTTTTCAACGGAAGTAAATGTATGAAAAATAAGTAACTCTATTCACTTATCTGAGAACTACACATATAAAATAAGATGGAATGAATACGAAATCTGCATGCCGAAGATAGGAATTTATCTCTTCTTACGGACTATCGAACATGAGAAATCTAAATCCACCCAGCAACCGTGTGCATATTCGTGCAGTACGCAATGAACTACACCTATTGTGTGAAGGCTAATGATACTACGTGATAATCCAAACCTCAGCAAGTGGAGCCGGGTTCGAACTCGTGACTCATCAACTGGAAACCAGGTGTCTAGACCAACGAGCCACAACTCCACAGCGAACATAAGATGTATCACTTATATCTTTCCGGATGGTTGTAGGTCCTGTTGAATAAAAAGGAAATTAATCAACCCTTTAGAATGACCAGAAGCAGGTTTAGAGGAAAGCACTAATTCCTACATTAAATACTCGGTTTAGTCAAGCGAAATAAAGTCTTTAGGAAGTTGAAAACCATTGGTAAACGACAGCTACCGAGATACAGTTGCATATCCTATAGAAGTTGATCTAGAACAGAAAGTAATACACATCCATTAACAGTTTAACTCATAAATCAGCAAACGCTTACAATGCTTGCAGCTTTCGTATCATATGCAATGCATATCAAACCACTTGTTGGGCAATCCAACCGATGGACAAAATGAAACATATTTTTCAGTTTCCAGTTGGCATAATGTGGACGATTGTAGAATAACTGTAAGGAATAAAAAATAAACCAGTTTGATGAGAAATATGATGTTTAAAAATCAGTCCACAACATCGACTGAAATGAATTCCAGTTGGCGAATCCTCAAATGAGGAGTCAGACTGAAGTAATGTATCGCCTTCACTTCTCAAGAAACTGAAATAAAAATGATTACTAACATGACGCTGATGAGTAAAATTTAACCAGACCTAAACGATACTGAACGTGCTTTCTTTTATTTGAAATCTTAAAGAGTTCTTTACTGGTTCCATACATACACACTTCTGTTCACTTCAATAATTTTCACTCCCGTTAATTTTGTCTCCAGAAAACGAAATTCTGAGCAAAGAAATATTTCTTTTCGACTAGCTCCTCATCGACGGCTCTACACTGTTACATATCATTTTGAAATCACAAAATGATATACCAATCTAGTACTAGAAAGTTAGTTAGTAGAAGTTAATTAGTCTCAAGGTTTTAGGGGATGATTGATTTTTTCTTTTCGTGTTCTTAAGAAGTATGATAAGTTCAACTGATGTATTTTTGTGACAAACTGTACACTGTTATTCCTGTCATTTTTGTCAGAAATGACTGCTTGACTAACAAAAATAACGTGGAACCTCGCATACAGGGGGATCAGCTCAATTTGCCACACTTCACAGTAGTATACAAAATACAGGTGAATAGAATAAGTGTCATCAAAAAAGATAAAGTAGTATGACAGAACAAACAATCTGAATATTCAAGTTTTTATAGATATCAAGGAGTGAATACATCCGCACCATTGTGAGCGATATTCAGCAATATCACCAAGAGTTTTCAACCACCTATTCCTTTTATATCGGGAACCCCAACCAGGCAGCCTGCATATCCTAACACGACCCAGATCAACATTCAGAGGCTTCACCGACTAGTGCGATGTCCTCGTCTAGCCACCCTGAACCCACTTCTAACCTAATTCAGCTTCCCCTAGCAAGGCACATCGAGGTAGGCAGTGGCTGGGCAAGTGCAGTGCATGTCCAAGTCATCTCAGTCGACTAAGGTTCACAACCTCATAAATCGACTTGCTTTTCTTGCCTAGTACCCTTCGCCTGACCTCAACATTGCCCACCACCAAACGTGAACAATGCTACAAAGACGGAAATATTGTCAGAAATATTAAAAGGAGGTAAATTTTTCACATCTTACAGTGAAACACATTTCCTCACTTATTATTTCTCGCAGTGCTGTGGTGTAGTGATTTACACACAAAGTTATCAAACAATTGTTGATGAACTCGTAATCACTTACTTTGCCATGCTTGATAACAGAAAGACCTAAGGATAATATATACATTAGACGTGGTTTCCAGTTTAGTAAATAAATTTGTACATGCTTACACTGGTGAAGTTGTTCTCCTGTATCAATTTTAGCGATGGAAGAACCACCTAATAAATTGAACTAAAACCCTAAAATTTGGAGTACGACCGAAACATTTAAAATTATGCACAATAATGACAGTCGAATAATCACTAAGTTACATTCAGAAGGTAAATGAGGGAAAGAAAGGTTAAAACGAAAAGCTACATATCCTTAATGCATGAAGTGCAACCTCAAAAGTGAAATTCCGCTAAGCAAGTGCGACCACTTTACTAAACTTTAGGACAGGAAACTGTCGGCAGTATGAAAGAATAGTGTAATAATATAAATCAGCAACAATGTGAAGGTTAGCGGACTAGTAAATGAGCTACAAATACCATGCGGGTGCTAGATGATCGAGTCCCGATCGGAAAAACAAAGTCCAAACATGACCAATCCTTGAAAGTCAATTACTTAAACCAATAAGCCTCACCAATAGCTGTGGATGGTGGTCAAGTTTGCAATTCGCGACGACCTAGCGGTTATACTGGTGAGAATAATGTTTTCTTGATATCCTACCATATCAGAAGGATACGTTGGATAGTGGTTAAAAAGAGCAGTCACCATTATAGTATAAATCGCTACGCTATGATGCAGTCCCATCGCGAAGTCCTAATGTTGGTTAGGAGTGTAACAGCAGATATGTATCTTGCCGATAACCAGAACTACCATGCTCATCACATTGCCTTTCCTACAGGAAGAAAGGGATAGAAAAGGTCAGACCTCAAAACAGCATACAACCCCTGCCCACCGGTCTTCCGGTGCCAGTGGTACAGATTTTCTAGCAGGATTTAAATCAAAGTTAAATCTCACACTTTCAGAAAGATCAAGTATTAACAGTCATTGGGATCTGAGGCCACGCATCACCGTTATTAATACAATTTCTTCCTCATGAACACCAAAAAGAAGTAATCGCTTATGGTGCGGGTAGCCCGGAAGTGTCAACCCCCCTTATATCTTTCAGTGCTGAAGTTAATTTAGATTACTATCAACCTTCCCTTGTGATTTATCTCCACCTTCCTCAGCCAGTACTGTCCCATCCTCTATAATTTCACCAAGCTTTTCAGTTCTTGACAGCGAGTCAAGTTCACGGAACAGTATCAGCGGTCTCCTGAAACTGCCCTCTAGATGTACCAGTGCTTTCAATATTTGCACCCTCCATCAAATTAGACAACTTTCTCAGTTCAATACTTTGGCATCTCGGGCCATGAATGTGTGTTGTGTTTGTGAGATACACATGCAGGACCCAAGTGGTGCTATTAACTTAACCTCACCTGGTCATTCGGAGAATCTACAGAAATACTTTACGAGTATCTGTAAATCTGATAGCTAGTCGTCGCGATCTTGTAGGTGCAAGTCAGGTAGAAAAACAAAACCAATATAAGACTTAACATTACAGGTAACGGTTCAAGTAGGAACACCTAGTGTCAGCATATCAAAAGAGAAATCATCTAAATGAGAGGTAAAGAAACCAGTCAAAAGTCTTCAAATGTCATCGATTGGAAGCAGGGAAGGAGAGAATACTGAAACTCAGCCGGACGATTAAGATGGACGTAATCTCTGAATAAATTTGCACCACTTGGATTGATTCTGAGTCATATCACCCAGAGTCTCCAACCACTGAGTTCTGCTGTTACGCGGACTCCAACCGGGAAGTCTACATTAGCCTATGTGGAGCCGTCGTTCATTGATTTAGGAAGATGACTTTCAAACATTGGGACACGGGTTCAGGCCCCGCCCCGCCCCACCTACCGAGATTCGAGCAACCAAGTATTATTAACCCTCACACAATAGGTGTGGTTCACTGCCTACCGCACTAATGTACGCAAGGCCGCTGACTGCATCTCATTCATTCATATTTGCCTACACGGCTTAGATCAACAATCTAAGATCTCAAGGATTGATCCCATATTTTAATCCGGCCGCCTCTAACCCTTTTGCAGACTAAACCTACTTAGCCAACGTTGCGCGACGAGGCAAACGACGACTAGGCGTGCGCAACACATGTCCTAGCCACCTCAGTTGGTGGAGGTTTGTAACGTCATCAACCAACTTCCCTACCCTACTTAAAACTTTAAAAATTGCTTCTACATCACAAATGTGATGATACAACGACATATGGCCTATGCTACGAAGGTAACAGCGGTCGAACAACACAAGCCTTCTCAGGTCCTCTACCACTAATGACCACGTTTCACAATTATACAGTAGAACAGAGTGAACTGAAGTGCAGTACATTCGACGCTTAATAGGCAACCAGATATCGCGGCGGCACCACAGACGGCATAAGTTGGTGAAAGTCAATCGAACTTTTTGTACCTGTGCGGCGATTCTATTGACCCATCAGGGTGAAGTGGTCAAAGCGCACAACCATTTCACTTCCTATTTTCAAACAAGGCAACAGTGAAGAACAGTACTACAGCAACAATTTCCGATTAGGTGGTTAGGAACGCATCTCTAGAATTCTCAAATTGTTTAGAAGACTCTACATCTTGTCAACATCACCTAACAAGACCATGTCATCTCCGTCATCTAGGTTTACCAAAGATTTCCATATGATACAATGAATTCCTGTGAAGTCAAATAATGGGAGGGAGACCTATATAAGTACATATATAACAAACAATAAGATCGGATAGAGTGGACATCCCTGACGAACACTACTCGATGTACACAATTAACTATAGGCCCTAACACGCCTACGGGTGTTCGAGTACAAAGCCTTCAAAAGAGTGAGGCATTTACTCGGCACCTCTTTCAGTGGTGGTGATCAACACAAGACAAATCTCCACCTTTCCTGAAGATTGGAACAACCAGTGGTTGAGAGCAGTCACATACGTTAACTAACAATTTAGTCATTCTGACCAGCGATACGTGACCACCGCCATAAATATCTCCGGTGCCAGTTCGTCTGACCCTGTTGCCCTTCCTCGTTTCAGATTACTTACAGCTTTCTCAGTTTCTGTAAGTATTGGAGGCCATCTTAATGTTCCATTCAGTATCCGACAGGATAGCAGAACAGTAGTTGCGGGTCAATTGAACTGTTCTTTGCAGTATTCTGCTTATCGTCTCAATCGTCTCTCCTGCGAGTGAATCACAAACTCATGCTTCTATGCCAGTCTTACTAACTGTTGATCTTTTCCACCCTAGTTTCCTCAATAAGTCTAAATAGCTACCTGCCGTAAGCATTAAGTTACAAGGTAGGAAGTGCACTGCTCAACCGGACCCCAGTTGACAGTCACATATGCGCTGCTCGTCTGAATGGTGCACTGAGGAATAATGGTACTACTCACCGTTGTCTCTGTGATCTATGCATACACACACAATGACCGCAGTTCGACTGAAGTGAAAAATGAGTTTTGCCAAAAACCGTCTAGTCAAATACTGAAATCTAAACCCTAAGATATGTTTGTCGTAATGCAAAAGTGGGTAGGCTGAGTCGGAGAGAAATGTACTCAGGTGGCACTTTTGGAGTCACTATCGAATGAATGGATAGTGGTTACCGTGTGTATTAGTCATTTTAATTCAGGATAGATAAGATTTCATGAGCCATTGTCAAACTTAAAAATATTTGACAACAAGCGCTTTGAAATAACATACAATCCACCATGACAAATCAGATTATGTCCGCTGATGTATGATGATTAAAAAAACTGTTCCTAACAGTTTTCCGTGAATTTTTAGTAAATTATACTAAATCAGTCAAAATGTTGGGAATAAGTGTATCCAGAATCTTTGCAAACTGACTTTGTGAGAACCATTGGGTAGAGGATTAACAGAACCCTAAATGTTTAACTAACCTGCATTTGCAAAGTCAAACAATTGATCCATGGACTTGTACAATTGATAAGCAACTCAGGATGCTTGTTTATGACTAGGAAGCCATTACTTTCATAAATTACACGCAAGTCAGATATATGAATCCAGGATTCCCGCCTTTTACGTAAGATCTGATAGAATGTTAACACATTCCACACCAGAAGCACATAGATTCTTAGCAGAAAAACTTTAACCGTTAGAAGAACTCTCGATAATGCCATAAGAAACATGACTTGAACTAATTATGATGTTAGTTGGTACACGGTACAACTGACGGGCACGTGTGATAGAAATGGATAGCAATCTGAAACAAATAAGACTAGACAGTTAACCTAGGATATGCTGAAAAGCTAACGAAACAGCCAAAACGGAGATACTCTAGTTTAGAAATATAAGTCACGAATGGTCCCAACTGAACACACCACCATTAGCATACTTTGAACAAGAATCCTAGTATAAACCGAATAAAAAGACATCAGCCTTATGTCACACTAAGGTAGTGTTAATTCCATACTATTACAGTAATTTATATGGAGCCCTTCTAGCTTTCCAGACCATTCAGTTTGAAGTTTTCTCAACCGAAGATCATCCTGTTTTGCTGTCTAGAAAATTTGATTTTCTGTCATTTGATCTGCATCAAACCAACACAGGCATTTTCTCATGAATACATATTTAGTTATCCTAAGATTTTCGAAAACTTGGAAGAACTGATCGGTAGAGGGTCTATGCTTCCATAACTATGTAGAAATAGTTGCATTACACATTGGGATGAACACTATCCCATTTACTCTTCCCGAAAGGATTTATCGAATGTTCGCATTCCATAGATTTTCATTACAGAGCAGTACCCAGTGGTCTGGATTATTGCCTTCTTGAAAATTGAAGTTAGTAAGGGGATTTGATTTAGACAACTGGTATTTAAGATTCCACAAATGAAAGTTCATAAGTGACGTAAATGAATCCTAAACATCGGTACAAACAGGAGACTGATAGTAATGGTTTTCCCTATTACAATTCCTAAACATATAACTTTATGATTCAGTATAGATTAGAAAAACTAAAACTTTTAACTGTAAGATAGCTTTTCATATGCAACGAACAATTTTATAGAAATCCTTGAATTGAAAACATTCCTTCTTTTCATGACATCACTACCACTGTGCGCTGTTCTGGATATCTTTAAAAATAATTCCTGCTAGATTTTCTAGCTATGTAGCCACTGTAACTGCCTGCGGGGATATAAGTTACGTTCTGCTCTTACGTGTTCCGTTTCTGTGTGCCCCTATCTTAAACAAGTGATATTTGATTGTTCTGGGACATTTACAAGAAAATCTGCTGCTCATTCAAAATGTACAGCAATCCCCTAAGCTGTGTCATGCTTCGAAGTGTTACCATCATTTCGCTACTCCTTTCCAATTTTGTTGCTGATAAAAGTTTCCGGTATCCTGGACTAAGTAGACTATTTTCTCAGTTCTCATGGAAATTTTTCACATGAATTAAGCAGCTTTGTTCGCCTCCTATTTACCTAGTCTTACAACCATATGGATTCCGAAAGGTTCCTGTACATAGTGTCCTGGTGCTGCTCCAACTAGGCTCAAGTCGTATGTCGTTTCAATGCATCCGATTTTATCGATTTCCCCATATTTCGAAAGATTACACTACAATATGTTTCTTTTCCAAAGATAAGACGGTTAGTTTTTGACAGGTCTTAACCTCTACGCACATTTTTCGCCCACAATGGGTTTTATACTGACCTCCCGCTCTCATAGAACTCATTCCATTCAGAATGGAATGCTTTTGGACTTATAAAAACATGGTAATGTAGGTTGTGTGGCAGTGATTAAACAAGGCTCAGTCACAAGTGGTACTATTGAGTCCCAGTTTTATGGAAGTATTTCCTACTTACTCTAGGCCGAGGGCTACAAGAAGAAGTTTTTGCAAACCGATACCTACCCTGATAACCAAGCTATCCTCGTCTAGCACGATATTCAGTGTGGCTTTGCGTTAGCGAACTATTCTGCCATGACCTACCTATGTTATCACCTGACTTCAAACACTACAATGTCAGCAACACTGAGTAAAAGTTTTTCAGACGCCACTTAATTAGTAGCTTTTAGAATCACTAAGGGCATGACCTTAGGTGGTGCAGCACTTTACAACAGAAAATGAACAGCTGGAAAGGTTTACCACATGGAAAAAATTCAATGCTGCTAATCCAAGTGAGACCATCCACTACACTCCATATCATTTATTATGGAGAAATCGTAGGTGGGTCGTCCACACCAGGATTTTTTGACAATCATAATAAAATTCAACAGTGTGTGAAACACGAAATCACGATGAATCGATATAAGGACGTACACCCTAAACGAAAGGTAGAGACCAGTAAATGAAATCCCACATCTTCCTATCATTATAAAAGGATGACAACAGTAACGTCTATAGATTAATTGTCGTCCGTCCAACTTTAAAGGCTATCCTAGCAACCACTGAAAAGAGCAGTCAGGTTTATTTATTATTGCAGGAGTTAATTTTCCAGTCAAATTAAGTAAATATAACTGTTTGTTTCATGAGTGGCACGGACCGATCCCAAGTTCACTCGACGTGAATACCAGAACATTTCGAAATGCTTTGCAAGGACACGTACCAATCATTCCGTAGTGTGGTGAAAGTAAGTCCAACAACTATCCAATGTCTTTTTAACAAGCTTGTGTAAACCAATTGATTTCTTCGCACTCGCTTCTTGGTCTTGCGGAACGGCTCCAGATCTTTGGCGAATTCCGATGCAGTAGGTCCAGCCACTCGTCTGCTATAGCTCTGATTTACAGAACAGGAAGTTAAGTGTTGGTCTGTTTGCCTTGGACTGTGGTGCAGTTGGCTTCTTCACATGTCGAGTTGCCAGACAGTTGTTAGGACTGGTCGCTAGAGAGGGTTGGGGACAGTGAAGAGAAAACCTAGAAGGTGATTGTGTAAGTAAAAGAAAAGAGGAAAAGTGAACTAATGGAGTAATCTACTTACACCCAAGTAAGGTGAGTAAGGGCGCAAAGGTATGAAGAACTTAGGTAAGTGAGGCTAACTTATGGCAAGTGGAAGGGGTGAAAAGGGTTTAAATGGATATAATAGAAAGAAAACTGGTTGGGGTGGCTTGACGTCACTTCACGTTCCAGCTATGCGTGGGTAGACTGTGAGTCTCTGCATGGCTGTCTAGCCTCTTCTTGAAGCTTCCAACAGTTGGGGCGGAGACCACCTATGCTGGTAGTGCGTTCCAGTACCCACAGACTCGGAGGGAAAAGAACTGTGAATGCACATGCATTTTTGACCCCTGGTGTGCTATTCTATTGGGGTCTCCCCGAGGATCTCCGTAATGGCCACTCGGTAGGACTCCTCTGTTTGGGTGACTTGGGTCACTCATTATTTTGTGAGCCATTATTAAGTCACCACGTATCCTTCGATAGCTGAGGGAGTATAGACCTAGGTCTTCGAGTCTATCCCCATATGGTTTTCATTGCATTCCAGCAACCCCTTTTGTGGCTCACCTCTGGACTTTCTCCAGTAAGTTCGCGCCTCTTTTCAGTTGTGGTGGAGCGAAGACGTTATGGACCTCTGAATGGGGCCGTATGTAAGTCTTGTAGAGCTTCAGAAAGAGTTCTGGGGTGAGGGCACCCAGTTGTCTACGTACAAAGTGTGGTACCCCATATGCTTTTGAGAGGTCACTTGGGTAATTGGAACTGGTGTCCAGTTTCTCCGTCACCGTTAGACCCAGGTCTTTTTCCACTGTGGTATGGGACAGACGTGAACCACGGAAATAGTAAGATGTATTCTGGGGATCAGGAGTGCGGAAAAACATGGACCGGCACTTATCCAGATTAAATGCCAGTTCCCCATTCCTCTAGTGTTCTGAGGTCCTTCTGTAATGTCATAGGTTCTGCCTCACAAGTTATTGCCCTCCATAACTTGACATCATCAGCGTACAGAAGAATCGATGAGCTGATATGTTGCGGCAAGTCATTTAGGAACAGTAGGAACAACAGTGGGCACAAAATTGCTCCTTGTAAGACACCGGATGAGGATGTTCTCCGAGTAGACCCTGTTGACTTTCGTGCAGAACTCCCTGTTGTCTAAGTAGTTCTGCAGCCATGATAGCACCTGGCTGCGAATACCTAACCCAGCTATCTTATGTATTAGGATACGGTATGAGACGGTGTCAAAGGCTTTGGCGAGGTCCAGAGAAATTACGTGGACCGGGACCTTGAGATCCCAGCATGCTGTCCAGTGGTCATGGGCCGTCAGGAGGTTGGAGACACAGGACCTACCCTTCCGGAAGCCATCTTGAGTGTCATTCCTTGATGGAATGTTGAGCTGTGTGTCAAATGTGGTGCTCAGCATTTCAGCAATCTCCTGCCCGGAGAGGTTGTCTCCTTTCGGACCTTTTATGACACATGCTCCTTGACTTGTCGATTTTCTTTTTGTCATGAACCGATGAAAGTTTTTAGGGTTTACCTCAAGCCTTTCGGCGAGGTTGGACTGGAACGACCTCCTGTCTCCCCACACCCTTATGTTGCTTCGATTCCGTAGAGTCATGTATGCGTCATGGTCGTCCTGTTCTCTGAAGAGTCTCCACGTATGCCATGCCCTTCCCTTGGCTTTTAGAAGGCGCTCAGTGCCCCCTTTTAGTCATGGCTTTCGCTTTCTGGTTGTTGTTAACGCCAAAGGGACGTCTCGCGAGACGGCCGCCTTAATGATATTTTTTACCAGTTCCCAGTGCTGGTCGATCCATAAGGAACACCAATCCACTGGCCACGAAGCTGTTGAAAGGCTCTTGTTCATACCTTCGTACTTTGCCTTGTTGTTACATAGGTAAGGGAGAGGTCCCTCCTATGATAGCTCTTCTCTAATCACCAGGCCGAACATTACTTCCAGGGGGGGGTTTGCACCTGAACGTTTTCAACAAAAAGGGGATCACTAGTCAGTAGGTAATCCAGTTTAGATGGTTTACCATCTGACCCCCAGCGGGTGTTGTCACTGATTTTTTCCTGCAGTCCAGCCATTTGGATGGCGCTTGGCAGATTACAGTCGAACTTCCGGCTCGGGGTAGTGCCACCTTGCTCTAGGTTCAGGGTTGGAGCGTTGAAGTCGCCAGCTATTAAAATCTGGTCGTACCCTATGGTTGACACTGTGGGTATTGCTCGGAGTAGTTTTTGGTTATGTTCCAGGTTGTTATTAGGGGACCTATAGACTCCACCTAAGAATTTGGTGTGTTTGACCGTGAAGTGGCACCAGATAGAGTCTGGGAACTCTGTCAGTGCTGTGTCAGTGGTTTGTTCACTTCTGAACCACTTGTTCACGTGTATTGTAAACCCCTCCGTCCCTATGTTCTCTGTCTCTCCTGAGCAGAATCATATCATTTATGTTAACTTCGGCGTCAATTATGTCTGACGGCGACCACGTTTCTATCAGGATCATGATTTTCGGGGCGAGGTCGAGACAGAGGGATCGGAGCTCTAGCATTTTACTTCGGAGTCCTCTCATGTTGCTGTAGAGACACTTGGAGGTGTTTCTCGTAACGTGAGACGTCTCTAAGTTAACTAGTGGCAGTAGTTTGGATGTGGGGGCTTCTACTGACTGGCCAGTTCCAGTGATAAATAAATAAACGAATGTTTTATACTCGCGTTAAAAAAAGATTTTGACATGAGAGAAGCCAGTTTACAGGCCTCATCATGCTGATACATCTCAAAGTATCTACAAGACTTGAACCCTGAGTGGTACTGACGGAATGTCATTACACTCAATTAAAAACTGCCGGAGGTCCTGCTAGTTATGAAGTGAACAGGGAAATGTTACTTCACAGCGTACATAGGCTGTTAAAGTTTAGATAGTAGTAAATATTGTCGTCACTTAACAGGTTTAACTTGAGGGATACCAGTTAACAAGCACCGTCAAATTCATAACTTTTGAAAGTATCTGGTATTAAATAATTTACATATCAAGTCATTAGTGTGCATAATCTCATTAAAATTTACTGAAATTCATGAGACGGATATGGATTCCCATCTCTCATCACATAGATAGGTTCCATGATCAATATCAAAAGCGCACACGGGTTCAAAGTTTGCGTTGTATCCAACCGACGTTGTTAGTCCATTCGCATAGACTGCTGATTAGAAATATAACAGTTTATTACCTAGAATGATCGTCAGTTTTTAGTTTGCGAACCGCAAAGGACCCAGTTATACAATCCGGAATATCAATAAAGTATTCACTGTTATACAACCAACGCGTATGGCTATATCAATACATATCCAGGACACCATGTTACGTTTAAAGGTAATACAGATTAATTCTGCCGGGAATACTTGTTGTATTGGATGAAAGTAGATGTTGAAACAGTCAGTAGTCCATAGACTTCGGGTATTTTTTGTGTTAACGTAGGCGGCATCATTCGAGAAGTGTATTTGATGCATAGTAAGTTCCATATGAAAAGGTCTTTTGGTACAGAGTACTAGAGAATGTTTGGTGTGGAGCCATTGAAGGTAAATGACGTCCTGAGCCAATACGTAAATTGGTCTCTGTTTTAATCATTTGCTCAGAATGTCTCTCCTACTAATACTGTTGGAAATGGTCAGACAGTTCGTCGCAAGAAAAATCATGACCGGTAGGTGAGTTATTCCTGAAGATGGTCCATAATTTGCGAGAGAGTGGGAGCAGTCCAATAATTATTGGCGCCAATGGGCAGGTGTTATTCCCATAAAGTAATCGCATTCAGACGGAATTTGAACATCAAATGTCGACTTGCAGCTGTTTCTGCGAATGGGGAAAGAAAGAAGAGGCACAAGCCGATATGGAAATGGAGATTACTACGCTGTCAAATTTGGGGAAGAGAGAAGTCCCTATTCTTTTTTGATTTATTCGGACTTAATGTACATTTTCATGTATATGTGTAAAGTCAACTACATAGTCCTTGCATTATAGGGTTATCAAGTCGTTCTTTTGGGAGGGGGGTGTACCGTAGTGGCTTTCAGAGATAAACAGTATTCTTTAAGTTCATTATACGGAGAGGAGCCAGTATTCATACCATTGAATGCAATCGTTAGGCCGTCTGCATTGAAGGAACTTCAGGGCTTTAATAAAACCGATTCTTACATTTAGAGATCTGAGTACGTTCATAGTGGACGCAATGGCTGACCATTGTTATGTGTCGACTGCTCCATTACGCTTCGTATTTGTGAATATAATATGAATGCCAAGAAATTTATGGATATTCGTGGAAAGAAAGAAGTCGTTGAGTAGATGTCGAAACTGAAATGCAGACATGCAGGAGCGAATAAAATGTGGAAGCTTATTCCATAACCTGCTGTATTGTAACGGAAAGGATGGTGACCTAATTTTAAGGCGGTGCTTTTCTACAGGTACAGTGCATTCACGATTGCGTAGACTATATGAGGACATAGGCTTAAAAGTAGGAGCGCAACAAGCGCGAGTAATGCCATGCAAAAGGCGGAAAAATAGGCCAAGGTTGAGCTTAAGGAGTCTTGGGCAGAGTGGGTCAATTTTTAGTTTCTTACACCTTCCCTCATAATCAAGTTCTTCGTGACGGCCCAGTACATAGCGGGTAAACTTTCTCTGAGCATTCTCAATTAGTATCCCATCCGAAGCATACACATTGCTGAAGGTGACTGTGCCATATTCAAGTACTGATCGGATCATTACCTTGAATAAAAGCAGTCTGGCCTTAGTGGTATGTACATGTTTAAGC